CTTCATCCAAAAATGGTGGGGCCACAGATTAGTGCTCCCCATTAGCTAAATAAATACACAAATCCAACAGAACTCACAGATCTGGCATTGTCACGTTGCAGCAAGAAAAGCTCACATAGCAGTAGGAGAGAGTAGAGGACAACAGATTATTTGGTATGCTAGCTGTATAATGCATAAAAGAAGTGATTAGTCTGCTAATGGTAAAAGGTCATCTACTAATATTTGTATATTGTGTAGGAGTTAATACACAAAATTTGCATTCATAGATAGTCTTGTGACATGTTAGTAAAGGGCATCAGCATGATGCTAATGGTGTTTTCCATTTGACAGTAGAGGGTTGAGGTTTCTCATTAAACCCAACCCCAGAACGCAATAACGCTGCCCCCCACATAAAAGGTGGGGGAAGCTAAACAGTTAATTTGCACTGAAATGATGCTGCTCCATTGTTTGGATGTTGGTCACTATGCATCGAGATGATTAAACACTGGATTTCTTATATGCAAAAGGAAGAATACAAGTAGATTTTCCACATCCAGGTTCTGATGGTTGGTTCTGTTTTTATTTGTAGTAGAGAAATTGAGGAGTGGTGGTCTAGTGGTTGGGGAATGGAGCTTGGAATCCTGAGGTTGTGAGTTTGAAACCTGCTCCCACAGTCTGCCACTTTGTCTCTCTGAGACCCTTAACCCCTGATGGCAGCCCAGAGCTCCCCAAGGTGAACATGTAGAGGTAAAATTTGTCAATATGACAGTGGCGTCGGATGTAGGAGTTTGCCCTGAAATCGAAGGATTGACGGTTCAAGCCCTGGCTCTGACTTTCAGTGTCATTGTGTCCTTGGGCAAGACACTTCACCTGCATTGTCTACTGATGGTGGTTACAATGTCGCTTGCTACTGTGAGTGTGTGTGAATGACTGAATGTAGGGTAAAGTGCTTTGGTCATGTCTCCTGACTTGAAAAAGTGCTATTTAAGTACAGGCCATTTACCATCAATAAAGTGCAATTGATTATTAAGTCCTGACTTGCAAGTTGGAAAAAGTTTTTTTTTTTTTTAATAAGCTTGTGTTAGTCTTTGAAAGTTGTTATGTTCTTCACTAACCCTGATCTTAATCCAACATGGCTTCCAGACTTGCTAAGTAGCAATGTCGATGTTAGGGCAAAAATCATTTATATAAAAAGTCAGGAAACATATCAGCTTCGTCAAAACATTATGCACCAAGAGACAGACTTACTGACAGAACCAGCATGACAGCAAAGCTAAAGGGTCTAACAATAAGTGATGAAAAAGAACTGGCTTATAAACTGCTAGGTGTTGATGATGAATTATTCTCTAAACTACGTCAAACGAAAAAGCTTTGCATCTAAGAAGGAGCATGAGGAGAGAAACTGAAGGGAAATGCGAAATAAACAGAAAAATTCAATGGTACTCTACCCCCTCTGGGTTGGAGCTCAGATTGGCCTCAATGTGAGGAGCTTAATGTAAGTATCTTGGTCTTGTTTTCTTTACATGTGATAGTAAGTAGATGCCAAACCCCACTGGGGCTTTGCCTTTTTAGTGTGCCGGAGTGAGAAAAGGCCTGAGTTTTCGATAGTTGTACATCCGTTTTCCGAAGATCACCTGGGAATATAAGAACCAGGATGGCCGAGTGGTTAAGGCGTTGGACTTAAGATCCAATGGACATATGTCCTCGTGGGTTCAATCCCCACTCCTGGTAACCTCTTTAACTTTACTTTGTGGTGTAGCAAGTCTTATCTTCCGGATGTTTGTACTTCTCCGTAATGTAGGATATTTGAGTTCCTGAAATCCTGCATGTACCTGCTCTTATTTGTCTAGTGCCAGAAGTAGAAAAAGTTCCAATTTGTAATTTTGTAAAATATTTTGAAAGCCACTAAAGATGCAAATCTTGGTACATTTTAAACTTAAAAGCTGACATCCATAGAGAAAATAATAAAAAAATATGGAAAAAGCAGCATGTACACAACAAATTCTGTCCTTTAAATGTGAGCCTTGATTCACTGATAGCGCCTAAAGCTCCAGCAGATCACTCTACCATGGAAACATTAGAGTTCTCGCCATCATCATCATATTAGTGGGGGTGATAATGATCCTGCTGTCATTTCATTATTTGCCTGACAGTATGAAACCAACTGTTAGAAATTGTTCCAAGTAAAGTGTCATTTTCTTATCTTGGTTGCACTGCAGGGGGTGTTTCTTATCTTCATCACAAGGAAGAAACATGGGAAGGAGAGAATTACCTGCCTCTAATTACTCCAGCAGGCTGCATCTATCTGTATTCTGCCTCATTACTACAACCGTTTGCTGCTGTGAAACAAAAATGGACGCATTAGACCTTTGACAGTGGCATTTCCAGGATGCCGGACCTCTTTCTAAATAAAGAGCATGCCTTCATTTACATTTAAAGTTATTCATTGGTCCGGAGAGGTTAATAAGACCATTAATTCTGGTTGAAAAGAACATGCATTTCATTTGAGTATTTACCATGAGGCTATGCATAGAGTTTAGTTTTTTGTGAGCTTGTAGCATCTGGGCACGAGGATATAGTAACTGTCCAAAAGAATCACTGGGATTCCTCTGACAGGCGGCCATAGAAAACTGGACAGAAACTCCTCCATCCTGCTACTCCAAACCCCATAGGGACTGTGGTGCAGGCGGTGCAGCAGATCACTGGGCTCCAGAGCTCCAAAAGGCGCCCCTGAGACCCACAGAGGAAGCAATGCATCTACTAAACAGTCTGTTCACACTGATTCCCCCTGGCAGGAGAGGCACGACTCAAAATCACACTCCAGCACATGGAGCATTAGCTATCATGCCATCCTGCCAAATTACCACAGGGGAAGCAAAACAATCTGCAGGCAAACGCAAAGGCAGCTTCACTACCTTCTGTTTGGACCTCTTAGTACCGCCCTTTGCTCAAAACATTACATACATGAATATATACTTTCAATAAATAGCATAAATATTCTTATTTTTGTTAAAAATGCTATTATGAACATACTTATTAACACAAACTGTCCTAATCTCTAATGCATCACATAATTGCAACATCATACCTTTTCAAAAACAGAACAATAAGTCTGAGTAAAGTTTGGATTTTAAATGTAAGCCTCATTTTTAGAAAATCTAACTCAGGAACAATACAACTGATGTTTTTAAAACAATGAGGGTGCCATCTAGTGGCCAAATATAAATAAGACCTCAAATAAGTATCTGGGGATCTCTAATAAGTTTCTGATCATTTTCTTTTAAAAATAATATCACTTTGAAAGACTCAACATAACTTAGCATGTGATTATCTCTAAGACATATTACCAAATGTTTAATTGTATTTTTATGGTTTAAAATGGGTTTGAGTTTCATTGTGTATACAAAAATGTATATTCCAGGCTAAAAAGAAATATTGCTAAAAGAAAATAAAAAAGATAACTGATATTCTCTTGATTTTGACTTGTTCATTAGTAAACTAAGCTTGTCATATTTTTAATTAAATGATCTTAGTCTGATTTTCTTACAAAAGTTATGTGAAAATAACTGTAGATCCAAAATCAAATCATGCCGTTATGTATTTTTTTTGTCTCACATAGTTTCCTTATTCAGTAACAAGATTAACTGGTTCACTTCATCAAAGGTTGTTGATGTAAGTCAGGCTTAATGAATAAAATAGCCAATGTCTGCTAATGAATAAACTGAAAGACCCTTTGTGGTTCTTCATATTATGAAGATACAATGAAACCAAGAGGTGCCTAATTAAAACTGATTCATTTTCCTTTATATGAAACGGATTTTAATTTGTCAATTAAAATATTGTCATAAAAGTTAAAAGGAAGCAATCTTAAACAACAGGCAAAAATTACTGGTTTCAACTGGTACCATTAGTGGACTGGGGTTGAGGGGCCACATATCATGATTCCGAGGGCATTAAATGGGCCCCAAGACCATAATTTGAACTTGAATGTTATGAACATAAAAAAAACCTAAACAACTCCCAGGGTGCTCCTAAAAATCTGAATAATTCAGTCTAAATCCCAAACTATTAACTTGTACATTTCTGTGACATAAAAGGGAGTAAATATTTAATTTAATTCATTTTAATGTCTAAAACATTTACAGACCGAGGGAAAAAAAAATAACTAAAGGACGATTAAATTTAACTACTGAAAAACTGTGGAATAAAATGCTTTATCCTTTTATAGGGCAAGTTACCAATTTTGATCACTTGCATACCCCTTAAAAATGTAGTCCCCCCACCGTCGCTCTGTGAGTTCTAGAAGCAAAAGATCTATATCCAGGCATTCAGCAAAGATACTGCTACATGGTTGTACATCTAATTTTCGCACTTGACCAATTAGATGAGCCCTTGAATGAAAAAAACAAAAAGTTAAGTCAAGAAAAAAAGGTAAAAAGCTAATTAAAATGTTAAAAAGTTGAAGTTAAAAAGGTAATAACCCTAGTTAACAATTATATTTAGGTTTATATACTAAAAAATGTGCCAGTATCAGCATTAATGCCTCTAAGGTTATGTTGGACCAAAAAAAATGTTTCTTTCACTCTCACAATTTCTTATAGAAGCACTTTAGTTATTTGGCGTTATCTACAGTTATTACATTGACATTAATTTTTGCCATCAAAATATCCATATTTTTTGAATGTTAAAAAGCTAATAAGGTCTTATTTCAATAACATAATTGGCTTGAAATTTGGATTTTCAAAGTATTTCACTGAGTGCCCTGTAAAGGGTTAAAATGCATTTAATTTTTAAAATGACCTTTTGAATCAGTTTAATTCAATGGGTGTATAAAGGTTGTACGTCCATATAACAAGAGTTAAATGACAACAAACAGACAACTTGATATTTCTTTAAAAACAAATATATTTTGTCTACAGACTCAATAAACCTGTGATAAAATGTTTGCTAAATTTACATTTAACAACATTTAAAAAGGGAAAATGGCAGCAAAGCATGAAATAAAGAAGTGTGAAACAAAATACCTGTTTTTGATCATGTCGTTTTATTTTGATAAATCTTTGTAAACATAAACTATTCCTTAATTGTCTTCTCCACTGGACTCAAACATTAGAACGCTGATGCTTGTCCATTAAGCTCTGTAACAATACACACCCACCAGCTATTTGACAACAAATATTTTCAGATGAGAGACGTAGAGATTTACTAAATCAAATGCGGAGCCAATCAGAGAAAGATTTGGTGGAATCGGTTCAGAACTCAAGTACAAATAAGCTCCTGGGAGGCTGAACAAATGCAGCTGCCTGCAGAGTGACAGATTTGAATAAATAGTGTAGCTGGAATATAAATCATACCGTAACATTTACAGTTACGAGAACCCCCATTTAAACAGCTTCTCTCTGGTTGTAGTAATGAGACGCATTAAGCAGCGCTTCCAGCGACTCCTGTGGCTCCACTCCAGCTGTGTGCAGCATTACCACAGCAGGCTGGGATTGCTTGAGTGCGACACACATGCTCTTTGTTTCATATCTGAACGCCTTTTCATTACTGCATACAGTGGAAGGAAATTTCTTCCCTTTTTCTGCTATGAAATTCTGTTTTTTCATGGTGAAAATCTCAAAGGTTCCGTTTCAATATCTTTTCAGTTTGTGTTCAACCTGCAGCTAAAGAGGGCAGGAAACCTTCAGTAAAACTTCATGTTTTCACATTACAGACCAACCTTCTATGGGTTTTATTAGGATATATCTTATAGACTAACACAACAGTACATAATGTTACATATCTGAACAACTAATGACTGTGCTCTGTAGAAGGTATGTATTCTGAAATTTAAATTTGCCCCCCACCTAATAAAACCCAAGCTGTTGAAAGGATCAACAAGTATGCTCTTATTATTTTGCCAAACTATATAAAGTTCTCCTTTTCAGCTATACTCTTCTAAACGAGCACTTTGTGTGGGTCTATCATTTAAATCCCAATAAAATACAGAAAGGTTTATAGTAATGGGAGAAACGTGAAAAAGTTATAGAGGTTTCTCCTAAAGATAAGTAAAAAAGTAAGGTAATGAATGAAGGAATGTAGCTTCTGAGGTCCAAACTTTAAAGAAGTTACTTTTAAAAAACCCTCATAATGATGATTTTAAGAAGCAGGTTGTTAAACACAATCAGGATAGCAAAAAAAAAACAAAAAAATAAAACTGATGGGTGCTTCATAGGGTGCGGTGGTCCACTATCTACATCCAGTGTTCGGCTGTAGTGGTTAACTCAGGCCGAGGGGCCTTAGTTGGGGGGGAGCAGTGTTGGACTTTGTTATTTGATGAGTGGAAGTGCTAGCTGAGGAGGTCGGGTTGCAGACCAATCCTCTGCAGGACTTCCTCTGGCATACACAGCACGGGATTCACCGCTTTGATCTGCTCGTCACCGAGAAGAGAGAGGCCTGCAACTCCAAACAGAGTGTGGAAAGGATCCACCTGTAGAGAAAGACCAGAGGTTTAATATGATGCATAATCAGCTCCCAGAATGTAGCTCATCACATACCAATGTACTGTGAAAAATACTTCTCCCCTTATGGATTACTAAACAATGTTAATATTAGACAAAAATAATCAAAAGGAAAATCAAATTATGTTTTTTTATTATCATAATTATGTTTGGGGGGGGGGGGAAACTACCAAAGACTATTATAACTGATCCATCTCTATGTTTCATCATAAAATCTAAACCTAACAGGTTTAGGTTTTGGCAGTCAAACATTATGCCAGTGAGGATAGAGAAAATAAAAACAAAGGGTTAAAAAGAAAACAACTGTAGTTCAAGACATTATTCTCTAGCAATGAGTGTTTTACATCATCACTCTGGAGGGATTTCTGACCACCTTTAACTGCAGAGTTGTTATAATTCAGCCATGTTGGAAAGATTGTTTTAAGGTTCAGGATATTTGAACTGGGTTTAAATCCAGACTTTGACCAAAAGCTTAATTTATGTATGACTCAAATGTTGGACTTATACTGTCGTCCTGCTCTACAGCTAAAGTCTGCACACTTCTGCCTTATGTCAGCTCGTGGTTCCAACAATCACAGCAAGACCTCCAGGTCCTGAAGAAACAAAGCAGCCTCGCACCATCATCCTGCCACAGTATTGTTGTAACAGGGCCATCTGCTTCCACAAAGGTCCACTTCTCATCAGTCCACAATATTTTAGCAAAACCCTGTGGCATCATAAAGATTTCTTGGGAAAATGTGAGACGTGCCTTTGTTCTTTTAACCTAAGAGCTATCTCACAGAGGCCGATTTGCGATTTGCTTTTTTTTAAGTTTCTCTAATTATTGAATCATGAACCCAAACCTGAACACAAGGCAAGTTAAGCCTGTAGTGGTGGGTTATAGCGACCTGTAGCCATCTTTTCTTCGTATGGCCTTCTGGATTTGCATCTTTTCTGCATTCTTGTAATCATTCTGGTTTGTTGATCACTTCACGAGTTGTGATGTTTCCAAGTCAACTAGTTGACAATACTAGTCAAAATGTCGTTCTATGACATCACATTAAGTCGGGGCGCTCAGGTTGAAATTCCTTACAATACGTCTTGCTGCAGCGACGGTCTTGGTTATAGCAGCTCACTGTAGCGAACGCTCTGCTAGGCCCAGAGAATAAAATGTCCCAAAGCCTTAAAAATGACTGCTAAGATATAAATGACCACTCAATGTCTGCTCTTGGATGTCTTTACGTCAGAAGATGATCTTTCGCTGTTTGAGATCATTTGACCTTCATGGTGTCGTAAAGGATTCATTTAAGTGAATTTCCTGTTGCTGCAGATCTATCTACAGAAACGGATCTAGTTTGGATTGGTATTCAGAGATAAGATAGCATGCTTTACTCCAATAAATGAAATAATTGAAAAACTTGTTTTTGGTGATCCTTCATGTTATATTTAAAAATTAAGAGTGACAAAAATAACATCTGCAGGGGTGGTTGGATACTTTCTTAAAGCACAGTATGAAAAAAAAAAAAAAAAAGAGCTAAGCTAAGATAGCAGAGATTTAACAGCATCAGCAGGCGATCACTGGAGTCTGGTTGCATGACAGCTTTTGACACAATCCCGTCTCACCATGTCTCCCGGTCTGTCAGCAAATCCTCCCGTCTCCTCGTCCTGACAGGCCAGGATGAACCGCCGCAGCTTGGCTTTGTCAATCCAGTGAATCCTGCCGATGATCTTCAGAGATGCCAGGACCCACCAGGAGTAGCAAACATCTGGAAGCTGAGAGAGACGGAGGTTTCTCTGTAAGTGCATGAATCTAATCATTTAATGCATAAGACAATTTATGTTCCTCGTATTCATTTAGACAAATTACTCTCTACAGAGGATAACGTTCTTTAGAGATAAAACAAGTTTAGCTTCTTATATTATATTTATCAAAGAATTTCTAAGGTAGGGCTGGATGACAAGTCAAACTTTCACTTGCATACCTTTTCGTTTGGGATTGCACGGCTCTGAGTGACATCACTTCATCACTTTGTTTTTCCATGCAGCCTCATAATTGATAAACTAGCTCAATGTGTAAAAACCCCAAAGGTAAACATTTAGGGCCTGATCTCCAGAAGGTTGGTGTACTGTAAAAAAGATGCAAACTAAGGCTGCAACTAACAATTATTTTGCAGATCCATTAATCTGTTAATTATGTTTTCAATTAATCGATCAACAATCGGATAGCCAAAGGTTCCTTAAAGAAGACTACTGACGAAATTAAGACTTTTCCACTTGAGTTCTGGGAAAGAGCATACTGAAAGATAAAAGGTATTAATGGGAGAGGCGGCCTAGTGGTTAGGGCACTGCGCTTGGAATCCAGAGGTTCTGAGTTCAAGCCCCACTGCCACTGAGGGTCTCTGAGCAAACACCCTTAACCCCACACTGCTCCCTGGGCGCCACAAAATGGCAGCCAACTGCTCCCCAGGAGAATGAGTTAAACGCATTCATTTTGTTGCTCTGTACTTGTGACAGTGTAATGACAATAAAAAGCTGAAAAAAAAAGATTTATCTATTTCTCTTAAACGCAAAATGTTGGTATATATCTTTTTGCAATCTTGGTATAATTACTGCTCTAAATGCGCCGCTCTCTCAGCTAAAAATCACACTTTAGATTCTCTGCACTCCAGTTAACGACTAATCAGTTACTAAATTAGTTGACAATTATTTCAATTATCGATAAATCATGAGTAATCTTATCTAGTGCAAACGTGTCTGTAAGAAGAGAGCAGATCTTCAAAGAAGGGGGGAAGTGATTTGCGTTTGCAAATTAGCAGACAGTTTGTGCAAACCTATTGTTGTGTTTTAGCTTTCATCAGTATGCAGGTCCAATTCTACAGACCAAAATGTTCATGAGTGGAGAATATGCAAATACTAACATTTACCAAATGAAAAGTGATTTTCCAAATCTGAAAATCAACTGCAGTATTTGCTTCTGAATATCAGTCTTAGTATTGAGTCCTTCACAGCCTCTCCTGGCTCATCCTGTTTTTGTTTTGTTTGAACCACCTTCTTAGCTTCACTACAAACTGACTTTGTCCAAACTCTAGGGTGTTAGCTTAGAGAGGACATAAAAACACCTAAAAGTTTATTTTAGCTAACTGTAAATCCACCAACTTTATTAGCAGCTTCTGTAGCTTCAGTTTGATCAGTTCGCATTGATTCACCAAAAAACCCTGGTATAGTCTGGGCCATAAGGATACACCAGACCCATCTAAGACTTTATGGCCCTGTGTTAATGTAATCAGTCTACAGATGCAGCCGTAACAGTTGCAAGTGGTAAATCTGGACGCAGCTTGTGTTAAACAGGTGATGTGCAGTGATGGTTTTCTGTCACGCTGCGTTTTTCTTTAAGGCCATCTAAGCAGAGCTCCACTTGAAGTTTACTTTACTGTGTCCCATACATAGTTGGTACCAAACTGCAAATGTGATTTCTCTTTATTTTTTCTTGCGGTCACTCCTTTTAATCCTACTGTGTAGTTGATGACTAACAATTGTCATGGTAACAGATCCCACCTAAGCTGATCATCCCAGCTCCCTGTTGGACACTTTAAAAAAAAAGAGAGATTGCAACAAAATGTCTGCTTTTTAGGTCAGCATGCATTATTAAGATGTCTATAAACATGAATATTTTATTCAGCTCCGCTCTAAACATTTAAAGTTGATATTACCACAAGTTAAATAATCCTGGTTTAAGCTGAATTGGATAAATCAACATTAATACCTGGTTGCTTTGGTATGTTGGCTATAAAATAGTAAACAAATAATAGCTAGGATTAAAAAGGAGGAGTGCATAAAAAATTATTATTATTTGTTGTTTGTAAGATTAAGACAAAAAAAAACAAACAAACATGAGGAGACATCATCAGATCCACACAAAGCACTTAGTACTCCATTAAAATCTTACATAGACACTAAAATGTACTTAGCCTTCCTTTGTACAGAAATCCATATTTTATTCTGGACTTGAAACCTTGTCCTCAATATCTGGTGGGACTCTTTGTTCAAAAAGAGCTCAAACATAATTATCCAGAACTTGCTTGACAAACTCATCAACCAAATGATATTAAATCTGCTTCAGTCCTGCACTGGCTGATTTTCCTGAGTCACTCCTTCTTCACACACTATCAAATCAAATCGAGGAACAGACTGTAACTTCATTGTGTGAATAAGAAAAAGAAAGAACTAAGTTTCCCATTTAAAAGAATCAAATAGTCAAATACACATATAATGAAATAAAAAAAAATAAAGATGATAAAATAATTTGTATTAACTTGATGAAAGGTGTAAAATAAGCTAGAAAGAAATAGAAAAAGAGACATTTTGATTTTTTTAAATACTTTTTTGGACATATGTTCATCTCAGACATGAAAACAGGTCAGGGAAGAAAAAAGTGAAAATGACTAAACCCTTTAGGGGACCCAGGAGTAGAATTCCCTCAAAAGAACTTTTGTTTGTGTGTTTTATTTAAATAACCTATTCTAGTGCACTCCAATAGAATAATTAAGCAAAGTTACAGCACACTATGATCTCAGTTATATCTTATTCTCCCTCCCTGCAAAAACAGAGATTCTTTATCTCAAGACTATTTTTCATAGTTCTACCATTTCCCCACTTTTTATTTAATTTCATAGTGTTTAACAATAAATACTCAGTCACTAACTATTAACAGCCCTTTAAATATTGTTTTTGAATCGCCTGATTAAATTACAGTCTCAAAGACTGCAGTGTGGCAAAAAAAACTATTTCCGGTTCTGTTCATTACGTTTATGGACAGTATTTCTAAGTGCAGCCAGGGGCCAGAGGGTGTCCAGTTTGGGAACCTCAGGATATCATCTCTGCTGTCTGCAGATAATGTTATCCTGTTGGCCTCATGAGACCAGGAGCTTCGGCGTGCACTGTGGCGGTTTGCAGCCGAGTGTGAAGCGGCCGGGATGAGGATCAGCACCTCCAAATCCGAGGACAATGTTCTCCACCGGAGAAAGGTGGACTCCCTCCTTCAGGTCGGTGGAGAGTCCTTATCTCAAATGGAGGAGTTCAAGTATCTCTGAGTCTTATCATGAGTGAGGGATGGATGGAGCTTGAGATCGATAGACGGATCGGTGAGGCAGTGATGCGGTTGCTGTATAGGACTGCCGTGGTGAAGAGGGAACAAAGCTCTCAATGTACCGATTGATCTACGGTCATGAGATCTGGGCAATGACCAAAAGGACAAGATTGCGAATACAAGCAGCCGGAATGAGTTTCCTTTGCAGGGTGGATCGGTGCACCCTTCAAGATCGGGGTGAGGAGCTCAGTTACCCAGGAGGAGTTGGAGTAGAGTCGTTGCTCCTCCACGTCAAAAGGAGCCAGCTGAGGTGGCTCGGGCATCTGCAAAGGATGCCTCCTAGTCGCCTCCCTGGGGAGGTGTTCCAGGCATGTGTACTACTGGGAGGAGGCCTCGTGGAAGGCCCAGGACATGCTGGAGGGACCGTGCCTCTGAGCTGACCTGGTGTCGCCTTGGGTTCCCCCCAGAGCAGCTGGGGGAGGAATGTGTGGATCGGGAAGTCTGGGTATCTCTGCTTAGACTGCTGCATCCGTGACCCAGCCCCCAGTACAGCAGAAGAAAATGGACGGCAAAGCTAACTATAGAAAGCCAATGGGAATCATGAAAATACAAGGAAACAATAACATCCTACGTCTTAATCAAGATAGAAATAGATGAATGATGAGGGAGAACTAGTAAAGGTAGGTCTATGTGCCTTTTCATCTTGGTCTATTTCTACATTAATTTTGGATATATCATAGGCATTACTTTGGTAAAGGTTTTGCCTTAGGCCGCCCCTCAGATTTCTCAGAAATCTGAAAGCATTTCTCCTACTTGGCTGGTGTGGTAGTTGGTTTACATAAAGTTTACTAAGTCGCAGGTGCAAAGAAAGCCAAGGTTAAAACTGATGATAATGAGCATTTCAAACACAACACACGCACTGCAGGGTTTATGTAAACCCATTATGTTCAACAGCTTGCAAGCAGAGTGGGGTCTTTGAGACTTAAGCATGTGCCAGACATGTATTAGACTGGGGTTCACACCTGTCTCATTAGAGCAGGAAATGTACGCTGGAATTGTTGGCACATAAAACACAGCTTATTACAACAAGCAGCGGTTCGTTCTTCCCAGCAGTGCACCGACTTAATTCACCCTCTACATAATGTAGGTAGCTGTTTTAGTCACTAAAGGCTAATGTAAGCTTGTGTCAGTCAAAGTTACTTTAAAGCCTCTCAAGCTGGGTTCCTTTAAACCACCCAAGCATCCAAATCACTATTCGGTTACTGTTGTCTGCCCTTAACTCGGCTCTAATCAACTCCATCCAATCAGGTAGCAGTGATTACGCTAATATTTTTAATGTTTTAGCTCCAAGTAGGAAATTAAGGGCCTATTCAAAAGCCTTTATAACATTTAGGACAAGCACTAATCTCTAAAAGTTTTTTCCATCTTTAGCCGCATCCACCTGAGCTGAGAAACCTGATCAGATTGGCAAACAATTCATCAGAAAGCCTCAAACCTTCTCTGGTCTTCCATTGAGGCCTCCAGACGGCAGCTGTCTCTCACAGAGCCACCATCCCAGCAGGTCTGCGTTGAGCTGGTGGAGCTGGCCGGTGAGCGACAGGAAACCAGTGCAGCAGTAAATCTGAAAGGGGACGTTTGATTTCAGCGACTCATCTGTTAAATAAGTTCATTCTGTTTAAATCAGCTGCTCACTTGAATTCAAATGTTATTCTACATTTAAAGCCGTTTAATATTATGTTTAGAGCTTTATGTGTTTTGCTTCAAAAGCATAAAAGTTTATTTAGTGAGTTACAAGATTAAACTCACCTGACCGGCGTGAGACTCTGAACCAGGTCTGCAGCCAAAACCTCCGTCGAAATTCATACAAGACAAGACGAACTCCACAGCTTTGTCAACGTTTATGGTGTCCATCTTCCCCTGAACAAGGACAGAGGTGGACACAGAGATAAATCATAAAATTCAAAAACAAACACTGTAAGAAAATATACTCGTTCAGTTTCATAAAAATGTTCTTCTGTTTTGTTTTTACTTTATATGACTCGCTTTATGATTGAGAACAGAGTTGAATATCAGTCAAGATCGCCAGAAGTCAATCAAGCCACAGAATCTCAATGACATTTAAGTCTAGAGTTTGACCAGACTGTTCCAAACCTTCATTTAGCTTTTTTGTTGTTGTGTTTTTGCATGAGAAACTGTGCTAGAGCTAATATCACAAACCCACGGCAGGACAGAACTCATGGTTCCGTAAGTTACAGCAAATGGACCAGCTCCTACAACAGACTTAAATCATCATGCTACCATCATGTTTCAAAGTGTGACGGACTTTCTTTTAAACGCTGCCTTTATTTACATCGGCTGTAACAGGATACGCCTTCCAAATTTTTGTCTCATCAGTTTATAAAATATTCCTCTACTAATCATGACAATAATAAAAATGTTTTTAAGCAAATGTGAGAGGCTCCTTGGATTAACATTTGGTCAGTAGAGGTTTTCACATTTGAAAACCCCTGGATGCTGTTTCTGTCCAGTTCTATTGTTGAATCGTGAACCTTAAACCAGGTAAATGAGACCTGCAGCGCTTTAAGACCCAAACCCACTGCTTAAATCCGACTGTAGATGCATTGATCCGCCTCTTCAAAGCAAATAGGGTCGGACTACAGGGACAGTGAGCTGATCACCAGACTCATGTGATTAAGTATCATCATAGGGTATGGCAGCCTTTAAATAGACACAAACATGCTTGTTTTTCCCTGTACTTCTGTACAAAGAAAACTATTTTTAAATGCATCGTTGCCATCATACGTCCCAGTCTGAATGACGGCTTGTTTTCAACCTGTGTGATATTTATTGACATATCAGTACTCTATTACCAAATCAGTTAATGTGACAGTTTGACCAGTGTACTCTGCATTTTGTGTTTTACTTTCCCACTTTGTTCACTGGAAAAAAATCGAAAGCTAGACAAGTAATTTTTTCTTAAAATAAGTGCAATTGTTCTTAGATTTAGAAGGTAAAAGAGACATTTTGCCAATGGAACAAGATAAATTACACTTAAAATAAGAAAACACAATTGCATTGTCGTATTTCAAGTGTAATTATCTTATTTGAAGAGTAAAAATACTCCTTTTATTGGCAATTTACCGACTCAAATTAAGGCTAAATACACTTAATTTAAGAAATTATTTACTTATTTCTAGATAATTTTCCCAGTGTTTTACTTCCTTTCTGACAACAGAGTTTCTTGTCAAATTGCTGCATAGGTTTGAACAAAATGCACCTCTGGTCTACCTTGGTCAGACTTTACCCTGTTCCTCAGGGACCCCTGTTAAGCATGTTTTTGGCATTTCCTTGTTGCATCATAGATTATTAACAGGCTTCTGCAGGACTTGATTGCAAAGGAGGAGCCCTAATTTGAATCAGGTGTGCTGGAACAGACATATTTAAGACATGCAGGGCAGGGGTCCCTGAGGACCAGGGCTGGGAACCACCAGGCTTTTAGCTAGCGATGCATACGGCCGTACATCGTACGCCCTTTACTAAAAAAATGACATATTGTATGCCCTGTTTTTCCCCTGTGGAAAATAAGCTAAAATGTTCAAAATTTCACAAGCAGCAGATGCTGGAATTGGAAATATTGAACTTTTGCTGCTCAACGCACCACATCAACCAATCAGAGAAGCTGGTCTGGGAGCAGGAAGGGAGACAGACACAGCGCTTCTGATGCAGAGGGATATGACCACTCCACTGAAACTGTTTATTAATGCCTAAATTAACTCAAAATGTTGAAACCTTCTGGGAAAACATGTTTGCTATTATTATTCAGGTGCCTGCCACATACATGAAAAAGGCTAAAACTCTACTTCCAGCCGACCAGAACATTAGGGGAAAAACCCAACATGTGACAGGGCCTGCTGCAGGGGATTCCTAATGACAGGGTTCTGAGTGCCTCCAACAGTGTAATAATATTTTAAGACTTAAGAACTGACTGAACAGACAATGTTTTGAGGTCTAATTTCTTGCATAGATATATTAAATCTACTTTTTACCACCTTATCACAGCAAATATAGCAAAGCCTCTCTCTGCCATTGAAGACAGGATGATGAAGCATCAGAGGCATCTGGAAAACACTTTACTGGACGCGCTTTAGGAGCTACAAAGATTCTCCTGAAGTGCGTCTGACCTTTATCTGTACAAGCATCAATAATGGAGCAGCAGACGCTTTTTTGCTGCTTAAATCTTGGTGTAAACGTAGCATTACACTTTCTGATTGTTTGAATTAGCCTATGAAACCTAAAAAATTATCTCTTGTGTTCCTTATGAAATTTCCACCTCTAGTAAAGCACGCATACTTCCCATATTTAGGACAAAAGCAGGTTGTAACAAAGAAAAAAGGTTAGCTGCATTCCACCTCAAAAAGCAAGAAATAGCCTTTCAGAGAGTCTAAATTGCTCAAATTGTCCGGGGGAGGATACCCCCGGAGCTCCCTATGCCGCGCAAAGCCTAAAAGTGATACACCAAGGTTAACACCCTATGAAATATTCCTAGCTAAAAGCCTGGGAACCTCTGAGATATACGACAGTGGTGAATCCCCAGCAGTCTGTGCAAACAGTTCACTTCAGCTTATTCTAATTTGTACTGACATCATATGACTCGATCTTCTCTAAGATTGGATGCCAATTATTATCTGGGGTGTTTTGGTCTAAAGATATTGCTCTTAGTTCATCACTGTCCCACATGTTCTTCATTAGTGGATGATGGTTCAACCCTTTCCAGGCTGATGGATGTCAATTTTTTTTCTCATCGGTTTTTGAGCTTTTAAAAAAATAAAAACACTTGAAGGAAAATGAACATATACATACCAGCAAAGCCAGCGTGGCAACAGCACAGAAAGAAAACCGAGTATCAATTTCTCCTGAGAAAAGATAAAGAGAATCACTAGATGAACTCTGATGAAAGATTTAGAAGGTGAAACCAAACTTTACTAGTTTTAAAAATATAAAGTGAGTTAAAGCCAGTTAAAAGATACAAGTTGATTAGCATGGAAAGTAGATACATTAAATCAGTTGAGTTTGTTTACCCCATTTGTCTCCAGCGAATGAACCGTCTTCCTGCTGGAGTCCTTTAACGTAATCCACCACTTTCTCCACATCGATTGCATCTAAGCTGTCATATAGGCACAAGATCTAGGAGAGATTAAATGCAAGAAGACAGTCAGCCAAAAACCAGAAGGAAAGAAATGTTCATCACTGCTGTTTATTCTGTATCACTGCAGCACTTTAAAGATGGAAATGTCTCGAGAGTTGTACTGAGCGAAATTTCTTTTTGTATAAATTCTATGAGTATAAAATGTCAATAAAGTCGGTCTAAGTATAAAGGGAAATAAAAATTGGAATCTCTTTTTAAAAAACATAAGGTTTTGGATAAAAAAAGTTATGCCAAAAAAAAAAAAAATCACTTCAGAGGATCCTGATAGATCAGCAAATACAAATAAAGGAAATAATTAAGGGTCTAACAGAGAGTCGTCCTATGAGTGATGCTTGGACAACAAGCATCCACCAGGAGTCACCTGGACAGCACTGAGGGTGTAGAGCAGGTGAGGGTCGTGTCCGATGCTGGCGCTGATGCCTCCGCACTCATGCTGGCAGGCTTTTATGAAGTCTATGATCTCCTGCCGGTTCATCCGCTGCAGCTGGCCCATCAGGTCCATTACCGTCAGACCCCAGTAGATGCCGCTCATCCTCAGGTACTCGGACAGCGTGTACTCCTGGAAACATGTAACCACACACTTTGCTCAATTGCCAACTTTTTAAAGCTATCATACTGAGCTTGAGCTGGCTTGTGGTCTCAATTTTCACTTCCTCGAAGACAGAAGGCAGGTGGCCCGGTTCAGACTGAACTAAATATAGATTTAAAGACAGTCTCGATACAGTGAAAATGGCATATCTACAACTCTTTTTAGAAGTGGTCTGAGTTGATCGTTTTAGTGGTCTTAGACACTAATGTTGATTAGCTGATTGGTCTAATTTTTTTCTGAAAGATCCAGGGTTTGCATATAGAGCAGCTAGGAGAGTAGACTTTAAGTTTCTGTTAAAGTACATCTCTAATCAATACCAAATCTTTAAAAAAATTATTTTATTATTATTTGTTATTGTCTGTAACTCAAAACAACCCCCATCTTTAACTTTAACTGAGCCACAGCATGCTGCCCTGTAGATTATTTTAAAGAAACCCCGTTTGTGTTATGTAGGGGAAACAGAGAAGTCGTTAAGGAGGATGCTCTGGGCAAATTAGATCAAAAGTGTTTTTTATTTACTACGTGCAAATGCAAAGAAAAACTAATACTGTAACCTCAAAAATACACCCCTATTCTTAAACATGGTGGAGGTAGCATCATTCTGAGTGGAGGCTGTTCTTATATGGGACAGGAAAGCTGACCAGAATGAGAGATTAATAAATGAAGAAAAAAATTCTCAGAAATCCTGTTTGACGCTTGAGGTTCATCTAACAGAAAATCAATGCTTTCCATCCAATTCAACTGATCTTTAGCTATTTGGCAAAGAGCAGCGAGAAAAATGCCTGTCTCTAAAAGCACCTGATAAACATGTAGAAATAAAGTCAAATCAACCAAACGTTGTTCTGCATAGTGATAACCCAACAGAGCTGATCATCAATAATCACTTTAATATTTTGAGCTTCCAGTTTTGAATGTTCTGAGAATGTTCTGGTATATCTTATACAACAGGTTTGAAAAATGTGTCAGTTTCAGCTTCCATGTGACAAAATATCAGACACTTTAACATAGGTGGATATTTACTAGTTAGATTTACTAGAGTAACTATATGCATTCAAGAGTGGTTTAACCACAATGTACATCTTAATTGTACTAAAAGAGATATTAATTGTAAAGTATTGTTATGATTGGAAATGATTCTTGCTACTAGAACTAGAAGTACTCTAGGTCTTCACTGAATGATGATCAGGCATGGTTTAATCAAAATGCACAAATACACACTTCCTAGTAGAAACAAAGCTTTAAAGTTCTAATGTTATTTGCCTTCAACTAAACCTGCTGTGTTACGTGAAGGTCAAGTGTATTTTCAGTATATAATGAAAAAATTTGTTGGAAGTTTCTCTCTAAACCAGGAGGTGGCAGCAGTACGGTAATACTCTTAGGTGAAACATTCTAATTAATTGGATGCTTAATTGTTAGTAATCATTATTATAATTATAAATTCTCAAAGTAGAATGAGAGGTAGGTTTTTTAGTTAATAGGTTCCTCTCCTGTGGAACCAACAACTAGTTTTAATCCATGAGGCAGACACCCTGTCTACTTTTAATGGTCGGCTTAAAACGTCACTTCTTTTTATAAAGCTTACAGATGGAGGGGCTCACGTTATTCTGAACTATCTCTATAGTTATGCAGCTATAGGCCTAGACTGCTGGAGTACAAAGGGACTCATTTTTCATCATTCTATCTCTATTCTCCCATTCTACAGTATTTGTTAGTTCAACCTCTAACATTATGCTCTCTCTGCTTTTCCTCATCATAGTAGCTTCATCTCCTGTTTGGCTGTGACACCATCTTGGAGAGAATTATGTGCTGTGCTGCTGCCATCAACACCTCTGTTTATAGATGTTGGAGTTTGTGTAAGTGTAGTCTTGTTTGTCTGACTGTTACTAACTGAATTTGCTCTCTTTTAGCTTCTGACATGGGAGCTGGCTTGGAGCTCATCTGCCTGGCTGTTTCTTGGACAGGGCCGCCTCTGAAGCTGCCTTTTGAATCTCTGCTTCTTTCTGTGTGTCTGCTTCTGTCTGATTGAACCCCTGTCGGCCTCGGCACGGCAGATGGCTGCTCACACTGAGCCTGGTTCTGCTGGAGGTTGCTTCCTCTTAGAAAGGAGTTTTCCTCCACTGTCACTACAAGCATGCTCGGTGTGTGAAGGATTGCCTTCGATAGTCAATGCAATGAGCTGGTTTTCTTTAGATAGAATACTTTGAACCAATCTGAGTGCATGATATGTTTTAAATGTGTCTTTAAAGTGCCTTGAATTGACATGTGTTGTGAATTGGTGCTATATAAATAAACTGAATTGAACCAGTTTCTGCAAAGAGCAAAGATGCTGTTTTTTGGGGGGTAGAGAAAAAAACTGAAACACTCTTATTTGAGCTTAACTATTTGAACTGATGTAACGAGTAAATTTCTCCAGTGTGAGATTAATAAAGTCAATTAATTACAATCAGCTGCTTTAGAATGATTCATTTGGGAATCCATCTAAACCTACACTCCACCCATGCCTTTAAATATAGCTCTCTGTCTACTAATGGGGCAAGTGCTTTCCCACATATATGTACAAATAAGGATGTACATGTGTTTAAAAACACAGTTTATGTGGCTGTTATGCTTATTAAAATTCAGCCTATCGGCCTTGATTTCTGTTTACCTTTGACAACCAGTGGTTGCAGTGAAATGTGCTGAACAGAACCATGGGAGAGGGAGCAGATGTCATTCAAAACATAAACGGGACATACTGGCCAAATGTCATCCTAGTGGAGACCAATTACAATGTAGCACCAAGCTACAAGGAGGAAAATATGTGTATTCTGTATTATTTATTGCTCAACACTATGGTGGTACTATTTGAAGATCCCACATGAGTGTCTGGTGGGATTTAGAGGAAACATTTATTTTAAATCTACTGCCCAAGAGTTTAGATATCAGTGAAAACAAAGTATATATATTACTGAAAAGTTTTACATCAGTGTTATCAGCTTAGAAGTTTAACATGAAGATTTAGCTGATTCTGGTGAGGGATCACATGAGCTAAGATCTGGGTGTAAATAAGGCTTTACTCACATAGTCATCCTTCTTGGAGCCATAAGCAGCGATGTAATCAGCATGTTTATCCAGCAGCAGAAAGCTGGGAGCATCTGGCTTGATGATGACATCTTTCAGTTGAGCGCTCTGACATAGAAACACAGAAAACACCTTCAACAAACCGCGAAGCAACATCAGCAGAAAACATGACACCCCAAAAGGTCTTAGTTTATTAGCCGCATATTTAACTTGTTTGATGAAAAAGAAAACAGAATGAATGGCGATCATAACGTTTGTTGTTGACAAGCTGAGGGCTAACTAACGTTGATGCTAGCTGCTATCACACACTAACAGACATGGTAAAAGCTAGGCTTACAAAAGACAAGAACAAACAGACATCAGGAAGGTTATACTGTAATGCTGTATTATAAAATATTATCTGAGAACTGAAATACAAACACTTAATTACCATTATGGGAGATTGTTAGTGATCTTGCATGTCGCTCTGGATTCTTCTTCGTCGGTTTATTCTTCTTCTTCTTCTTATGGGATTTTATGGCGGTTGGCAGACTTGTGAATTGTGCATTACCGCCACCAACTGATATGGAGTAAAGCAAGAAAACAGGAAACGATTCACCCCCCCCCCCCCCCCCCCCAAAAAAAAAAAAAAAAAAAAAACCTGTGTAACTTAAACCAACATAATACTAAATCACATTTGCCCATATAATTTTAATTTACTCTAGGTCATCTTAACTCTGACAGTTTCTGATGGTCCCATCGGTCCTCCCATCATACTTCCAACCATCTCCCAGTTCAAATCTTTAATGTCCAGATATTTTTCTGCAGCCTTCACTATTATTTTGATTTTTTCCGTTTTTGTTGTTGTCTGTGCAGTACAATTAATCACTTCTACCATGAAAAGAACAAAATTTGTCTTTTTAACAATAAGTGAGTCTTCATCAATTTTTAGAGATTTCTCTAGAGGTTTGGAATTTGCCGTGTGTTGAACTGTAGGTTTGGGTTTTTCTGACTGAGATGGGATCCTTTTTGCAGCTTCAGCGTAGGTTATTCCGAGCTCAAATTTCATTTTTTTAATTTCCTCAGACCTTTTGCTTGCTTCACAGCCGCGATAGGCAGCAGTATGTTCTCCACCACAATTACAGCATTTTATTTTAGCTTCTTTTCCACATTTTCCGTACTCATGTTCTCCTGCACACCTTCCACACCTCTGTTTCCCTTTACAAACTGCTGCAATGTGACCGAATTTTTGGCATTTGAAACATCTCAATGGTGGAGGATTGTAGATTTTGACATTATAGCTTATGTAACCGATGAATACTTTGCTTGGTAATTGCTCTACTTCGAATTTAATTAGCACAGATAAACTGTCAGATCTTTCTCCGTTTCTTGTTGTTTTTAACCGTTTTACTTCTTTTACTTTTGCACCGCTTATGTTTTCCAGAATCTCTTTTTCAGAAATTTTTAGAGGAACTCCTCCAATGACTCCCCTGCTGATCTTTTTGTTCTCCATTAAGCTGCACTGAACTCTTATCCCGTCAATTTTGTTGATACGTATTGCTTTGCCTTGCTGGGCGCTGTCTCTGCAGTTAATTAGCAGGTCTCCACTGTACAGAATTCTGGCACCTTTGACTTCTCCGACAAGTTTATTGATGGTTTTTGTTAAGTGAACCGGATTCCAATTTGTAAAAGAGTCTGCCTGATTAACGACTTTGAATATGACTTTGAATTCATTCTGTTGTGCTGTGGAATGTATGGAATGATCATCACTGGATTGTTCTGAACTAGATTCCCCTTGAACTGATCTCTGTTTTTTCCGCTTTTTCTCATTTTTTGATGTTGCTATCTTCCAACCTTCATTGTCACTATTTCCCTCTTCCATCCCACAAGAATCGCTTCCTGTTTCCTCACTACTCACGGCCCAAGGCATTTCTCCATAAGCAGCTTCAAAACACGCGCCATGCACCAAACGACCATCCACATGCAATCCTCGACACCTCTTCTTCTTCTTCCCCTCGTCGGTTTATTCACGGTGACGTACAACTTTTGGTGCGCTTTACCGCCACCCTCTGAATTGTAGGTGCACCTTCCTGCATAGAGATTAAAGGAATAGTACACCCAAAACATGATTAGCCTTCATTTTCTACTCACCCACATGCTGAACAACACTCTGGAGTACTTTTTTGATATCTCAAATGCATCTGGAGATCTGGGAGGCTTCTTGCTGTCTGCTGACATTCAAATAATGGAGGTCTATGGTGCCCGAGACAGAAAGGTCCATAAAAGTCCACAAAAAACGTGTCAATATTCCTCCATACTGCTCGTCCAATGTATTCCAAGTGTCCTGAGTGGGTAGCGTCCATAATTTACTCGAAACGAAGTCATTTAGAATGTTTTTAGAGCATAAACAGTAGTGTATAGGATTTCCTGAAAGCGCGCACATGCGCGTTCACGACGCTACGGAAGCCGGCAGACCAAACCAGCGCATTCAGCTCGGCAAAGAACTCCTGCTCTTCCTCAACACTGAAGTCCTCAGACATTTTTCTTTCGTTGTTTCTTTCTTTGCACAGGTAAACAGCACATTTCTTCTTCTACGCTTGCATTATTGGCAGAGCAGACGCTGAATGCGCACTTTCATCTGGTTTGGTCTGCCGGCTTCCGTAGCGTCGTGATCGCGCATTTGCGCGCTTTCAGGAAATCCTATACACTACTGTTTATGCTCTAAAAACATTCTAAATGACTTCGTTTCAAGTAAATTCTGGATGCTACCCACTCAGGACACTTGGAATACATTAGACGAGCAGTATGGAGGAATATTGACACGTTTTTTGTGGACTTTTATGGACCTTTCTGTCTCGGGCACCATAGACCTCCATTATTTGAATGTCAGCAGACAGCAAGAAGCCTCCCAGATCTCCAGATGCATTTGAGATATCAAAAAAGTACTCCAGAGTGTTGTTCAGCATGTGGGTGAGTAGAAAATGAAGGCTAATCATGTTTTGGGTGTACTATTCCTTTAATGCGCCTTCAGCAGAATGACAGTGTGCCTTGCCATTTGATTTAAAAAAAAAAATAATAATAAGTTAAATGTCCTTGTAAATCATCCAGAAATCACTAAGATAATCACCTCATTAACTCTTTTGAAAGCATTTGCAAAAATTAAGCAGAAGTTGTTGTGAACACGTAGCTCGACAGTGTGCACCCATAGCCACAAGGGGGTGGTAGAGTCAAACAGCACATCTTCAGATAAGATTGCATTTTTAGGATCATTATCAAGTGAGATATATACACCACCATTCAAAAGTTTGGTGTCACATTGAAATGTCCTTATTTTTAAAGGAAAAGCACTGTACTTTTCAATGAAGATAACTTTAAACTAGTCTTAAATTTAAAGAAATACACTCCGCTAATGTGGTAAATGACTATTCTAGCTGCAAATGTCTGGATTTTGGTGCAATATCTACATAGGTGTATAGAGGCCCATTTCCAGCAACTATCACTCCAGTGTTCTAATGGTACAATGTGTTTGCTCATTGGCTCAGAAGGCTAATTGATGATTAGAAAACCCTTGTGCAATCATGTTCACACATCTGAAAACAGTTTAGCTCATTACAGAAGCTACAAAACTGACCTTCCTTTGAGCAGATTGAGTTTCTGGAGCATCACATTTGTGGGGTCAATTAAACGCTTAAAATGGCCAGAAAATTAGAACCTTCATCTGAAACTCGACAGTATATTCTTGTTCTTAGAAATGAAGGCTATTCCATGCGAGAAATTGCTAAGAAATTTAAGATTTCCTACAACGGTGTGTACTAATCCCTTCAGAGGACAGCACAAACAGGCTCTAACCAGAGTAGAAAAAGAAGTGGGAGGCCGCATTGCACAACTGAGCAAGAAGATAAGTACATTAGAGTCTCTAGTTTGAGAAACAGACGCCTCACAGGTCCCCAACTGGCATCTTCATTAAATAGTACCCGCAAAACACCAGTATCAACATCTACAGTGAAGAGGTGGCTGCAGGATTCTGGGCTTCAGGGCAGAGTGGCAAAGAAAAAGCCATATCTGAGACTGGCCAATAAAAGAAAGAGATTAAGATGGGCAAAAGAACACAGACATTGGACAGAGGAAGACTGGAAAAAAGTGTTGTGGACAGATAAATCCAAGTTTGAGGTGTTTTCATTTTCATCTTTTCATTTGTTCTGCATTCTCACAAACTTTCTTCTTTGTGAGACACAGAACAAATGAAAAGATGCTGAAAGAATGCCTGACACCATCTGTCAAGCATGATGGAGGTAATGTGATGGTCTGGGGTTGCTTTGGTGCTGGTAAGGTGGGAGATTTGTACTGGGTAAAAGGGATTCTGAATAAGGAAGGCTATTACTCCATTTTGCAATGCCATGCCATACCCAGTGGACAGCGCTTGATTGGAGCCAATTTCATCCTACAACAGGACAATGACCCTAAACACACCTCCAAATTGTGCAAGAACTATTTAGAGCAGAAGCAGGCAGCTGGTATTCTATCAGTAAAGGAGTGGCCAACGCAGTTCCCAGATCTGAACCCCATTGAGCTGTTGTGGGAGCAGCTTGACCGTATGGTACGCAAGAAGTGTCCATCCAACCAATCCAACTTGTGGGAGCTGCTTCTGGAAGCGTGGGGTGCAATTTCTCCAGATTACCTCAACAAATTAACAGCTAGAAAAACAGCTAAAATCTAGCCGACACAACTTAGACTTTCCATTCACTCCTAATTGATGTATTGTCAAGAATATGATGTATTTTTGACAATACATCGTTAAAAAATAAAATAAATAAGATAAAGGTATATTCATTAATAATAATACCCTATAATAACTACTCTCTTTTGTAATTCACAATACAACAAAGTTTCCAGTATAGATCACAATACTCATTAGCAATCTTTAATAACACTGAATAATGATAATAATCACAATAATCTCATTATAATCACAATACACAGTATAATACTAAATTATAATAAGTACCTCTTTATTTGTTTAAACTTTAACATGATTTTATTTCATCACTGCAGATTTTCCATAACTGAACACCTGTTGAGGAAAGGTAGTGGAGTTTGGCATTACTACTAATTACTGGTTTGTTCAATATATATGTTCCTGATAGACAGTATTCGCTCTCTTTTGTTTGGAAAAGCTTTTCAATACTAAATGGCACTTGTTTGTTTTTTGCTCTGTGCATGATTAGAAGAATTTTGAAACTTAATCAGATCCTCAAACATTAATATTTTCATCCTAATAAAGAGTTTGTTGATTGTGTATTATTCATTATTCATAAATATTCAGATTGAATTTTAGAAGAAGAAAGACAGAGTTGGTTGTTGTCTTTTAAGTGATCCCCCATACTTCAACACAATCAGTCATATAGGTAGTGAAGGAACAGTATAAGGTATATTGTATATTTGTATAGAACTGAAATTAACGTGGATATTTTTATATTAATGTGATTCACGTGTTTATTCTAACTCAGTTTTGTTTTATTACATCAAGAAACTTAGTTTCAGACACTTTTTTAATTTCTGCATTTGTCTTAATAAGTCTATTACCAAATATAAAATTTGTTTTGTGAAAATTAAATGTTAAATAAAGTTGAACCATTTGTTAAACTTCATAAGTTCTTTGCGATCAGTTTCCAAAGGCTCTTCCCAATTGTTCACAGAACGAAAAAAGATTTGTATATTCTGAAAACAAGATTGCTTTTAACAGAGTAGAGCTAGTTTATTAGTTATAGTTACAGATCTAAGAACAAAAGTGATGAATTAATGTCACGCTGATCTACGGAAGCCTAAGGAGTGAAGAATATATTCAGCGCACCCCTGTTCAAAATGACTTCCAACAGCACTGGACTAGACACCTTACAGATATCATTAATAAAGAAAATAAATAATAATAGTCCCAAAACTGAGCCTTATGAAACTTTATACCCTATTTTCATTGTTTTTTTCATTTTAGGTGATTTATTTCAATGTACTTTTTTCGATTATCTGGATAGCTAGTGATCCAGGAAAGGGCGACTCCTCTGAAACCATAGATTAGGGTTTTTTGCAGGAAAGGTCCACTCCATAAATTAGTTTTTTTTCTATTTTTTATAACATGTGCCACTGTATTAAAAGGCTTTTTAATATCCAAAAAATCCCTATAGCGTACTGTTTTTTTTATTGCAGAAGTTAAAACTTCCACAAAATCTATTAGCATAAATGAAGTGGCGGTATTTCTCCTGAAGCCATACTGATGGGCGTACAAAATATTGTGTTTGGAGATAAAGGTGTCCAGTCTTTTACAAAGTATTTTTTTTAATTCAGTGACAATCACAGCTTTAGCATAAATGGTCTCAATATGCAAAAAGTATGCAGAATAGTAAGATGTACAATTTCTGTCTCTATTAATAGTATTCAATTCTTTCCATGTGTTTTCTATATTTTTGTTGTCCTCTAGAAATTTGGTAATCCTTTTTTACTTTTCTCTTCATTTAAGTTAGCTTATTTTTATATAGTTTATATCTAAGTTCTGCTTTGATGGTCCTCTTTATTAAAAGGTCTGTATACACTTTTTTTTCCCTGCAAGCCATAGACTTTTCGAAGAGCAGGGTCTTAAAGCATATGTAGGGTGTCCTCATCACTATAGAGGGGACTTTAGTGTCATGATCTTGGTGCTAATGGCTGGCTTAATTGCTCATTCCATTCACCTGTCTAACTCTGCCTGGTTTCTCATTACCCCTTATCTCATCCACCTGCTTCTGCCTCTATTTAAGGGACTTGCATTCAGCTATCAGGGCCAGATTATCATGTTCTCATTCTTGGGGGCCAGCGGAGAGAGGATTTTTTTGCGTACCATACAGTAGTGTCTCTGATTTACGGATCCTGACCTACTCTGCCTCTCATTTACTGAGCACATCTGTTCCTGCCTGATCTCTGAGGAGAGAGCATTTTAATGCTTACTATAATGTTTCTGATTTCCTGATCCTGACTTGTTCTTACTCATGCTTGTCCTCCGGTACTGCAGCATTGGGGACACTCTGTCTGGCCGCCGCTGCATCTAGTCCGCAGCGCTCCGGCTGGATCCTACCTTATTCTCTGGGATGGACTGAACTGTTGAACCAGGTTAGTGACTCGCATGGATAATCATCATCTGTCAGATTATCATGGTTGCTAACCTTTGCTTCACCCCAACAGTGATAGTTTTTTCATTTATAGAGCATTTCATAATTTTAATCATGCAGGGCATTTAGGCAGTCATAGAGATTTCAAAATGACAATATCATAAAGAAAATTACTAGTTAAAAGAAACAATAAAAATATGCTTTATTATTTATTATGTATGAAGTTTAGGTGAACGCTGATCCCTCCAGTTGATAGGTCAGTGTTGGTAGCCCTTCCTGTGACTCAGTACCCATGAAGTATCCCTCAGCCTTAGAAAGGATAGTGACCCCTGTTTTTGGCAAACCTATGATGACACTGTTGCAGCAATCAATTCTACTAAAGATAAACGCACAATGAGTTTTTCTAGATCCTGCATGGACATTCGTCCTTTAATCCTGGAAAAGTTCTTCACTTGATAAAAGGCTGACTCAGTAACTGCCTTTATGTTCCTCTGAAGGATCAGGTTGGAGTTCATTATGACACCAAGATTTCAACCATAATTAGTGGTTTCTAGCTGTAGTAGCTGAAGCTGTCAGCTAACTCTGAATCTCTCCACCTTTGGTCCAAAGATGATTACCTCAGTTTGCATTTTAAATTCAATTGAATAAAATTATGGCACTTCTACGAATTGATCTGTTCTAAGCATCTAGCCAATGCTCTGATATCATCTAAACAGCTAAAAATGTGTATTATAACCTCCTAATGGAGTTTAACAGATCTTCCATTATCTGCCTCTTTGTTATGGTTGTTGCCTTTTCTTTATAAACAGACTTTTAACTTTCATTGTCTTCACCTGCTGAGGTTCTAATGCCCATTTTCTGTTGATGCTTAATTCACAATTCAGACTGGGAGAGGCAGGTAGAATTACTGATATACATGATGGCACTTTATTGTACTGTAATTTGTGAGATCAGATGGTAACTCCCCACAAGAGATAACCAAAATCCATGAATGACAACTTAAAAAAGACTTTTATGTTGGTGTGATCTTTCAAACTAGGAAGAAAATCATTTAAAAAGTTTCATTACATTATAAATATGAACCACGTTGACAATGTAACAATTAATAACCCGAATACACATTAAGCTATTTTTCATTAATTTATTTGCAGGAAAACATTGTGAAAAAGAAAAAAAGCCAAAAATGTTCTGTTGAGGTCCCTGGAACAAACATCCTGAAAGAGAAAATAGAGATTAATTTACTCTCTATGTTAGACAAGGCTGGGCTTAAATGAAGTTATTTTATCATTGACATTGTGGAGCTACATATTAGATGATGATTTCAATCTGACACTTTACCATTCAACATTAACAACAACATCAATAATGCAGCTCCTGGGAAAAAAAAAAAACGTTTTAAAAGATACAATTTTCTTTTTGAGAGGTGAGCATGCCATCCTCTTCAGTAGGTTGTTAAACAACAACAGAGGCTACGTTCACACTGCAGGCTTTAATCCTCAAATCCTCAATTTTTTGTGAAATCCCAATTTTTTTTTTACGTTGTTCACATTTCCAAATGTACAGAATTTCCAAATGTAGAGGACGCAATGACGTCACGGTAACGCTTTCTTTTACAGTACATCACTAACCATGTAATAACATGATAGTAACACAGCAAGTCACACTACATTACTTGGTACAAAAAAAATTATTTGGTAAATACCCCAAAATTAAGGTATATAATTTCAAAGTAATTACCTGCATGTATTTATTACAATTGTATGTTACTATGTAACAATGGAGACATTTGGAGGGTAATTACTATTGGGTCACAACATAACAGTTTCTATTATTGGCCACCACTTACCAACGACTTACAAAGTAAATTGTAACTAAATTGTAACTAGAGCATTATAAAACTCAACTTAAGTTACATTTAAATACGAGTTTAGTAAAAAAAGATTGGCTTGCTGTCTTCTGTTTTCTAGGTTTGGTTTTCCGTTCTATGCCAAGTAATAAACTGCATTTTACTAGATCATAACACATTAATTTATTGCGGTTGGTGAAATGACTGAGTTATCTGGTAATAACTGAAATCTAAGAAGTCTGAATTTGGGGGAGTGTTGGCGTAGTGCTTATAGCAGTGCGCTTGAGCTTTGAGAAAGTTGGAAGTATCTCGTTCGATACCCACAGGCTGCCACTCTGTGTCCCTAAGCAAGGCCCTTAAAGTTCAAATAGAAAGGAGTGTGTCTAGAGCAGTTTTATCGTGTGTGATGGTAGATCATCCTTTTTCTCTATGTGGCTGATCTAAATCTCACTAAATATTCCCCTAGAAATAAAAATCGAGAGAATTTTACAGTATGCTGGGTGCCTCTAGCGCCTCAAACGGGTGTCAAGAACCAGTACTTCATGCATTGTTAAGGACTGTTGTTTTATGGACTTTGTAAGTACCGAGCATCATACCAAGTAGTTGGGTACTGATCATTACCTAATCAGTACCTCATCAGTGGGGGCCTGTGTTTTTTCATGAGGGCACAGGACAAAAGAACAATAAATCTAAAAAACCTGGAGCAAGATTGGATTGTTTAGCATATTAAGTAAGGCACAAAGCCGAGGTTGCACAATTCTGATCTAACGACAGTGGCGCCAGATGTAGAAGTTTGCCCTGAAATTGAAGGGTTGATGGTTCAATACCCAGCTTTGGCTTTCAGTGTTGTTGTGTCCGTGGGCAAGACGCAATGCCTACTGATGGAGCCCCAGAGCAGCTGTGGCTATAACTTCCTATCCTCAAAGTATGACTGTGTGAATGGGTGAATGCCTGAATGTAGGGTAAGCCACTTTGTTCAGGTACGGGCCATTTAACAGAGAAAAATTGGATCCTTTCTTAGTAGGGCTAAAATTTAAAGCTGACCGTAATTCTAGAAAGCTGTGATAAAGATGAGACAGTAAGATAAGATAATGGAGATTTGTTTTATGTTAAACATAAACTAGCTTATTCCATCAGCAAATTGTCTAATCCAAGACATTCAAAAAAAAAAAAAAAATCTACCTAGTTATTTTCTGAATTTTAGCTGTGTGTGTATTCAGTACAGGAGCTTTAGAAGAGATCAGGAACAGTTCAACATGGTTCCTTCCCCCTTTTTTGGAAGCCCTCATGCTCTACAGCCTTTCCTTTGCAAACAAAGCTGATGTATAGCTTGATCTTTAAAGCCACTTTACTCTCAAGCACTTAATCACATCAAGACTTTGATTTTAATATTTAAAGAAAAGGAAATTTTAGGTCAAATGAAGGTCGGTCCCAAAAACTAGTGGTTCTAATGTGGAGCCAAAAATTGTAACTGTTAAAATATATTATTTCATAATTGTTATTTTTATTCCAAATGTAAAGATTTCTTGTAACATTTAAAATTATCATTAAGGAACAATTTGCCAGGCCCACTAATTAAAAATAATTGAAATACATTTTTTAGCTTTTCTTCTTCATATTTGGTCCCACACTGGGGAAATTTTGTCCTCTGTATTTAGCCCATCTGTCTGGTTGCGGTGGGCTGCCACGCTGACTAACACGCTGAAGTTAAGTGTTTTGCTCAGGGACCCAGAATGACAGTCTGAGGCTCTAATAAGTGATCTTTATAGCCTCTTTGGAGCACAAACCACTAGCCCCCACCACTCTTGTATTTAAGATTAATCGGCTATATATCATTACCTCATGCAGCAGGTCGCCCCCAAACAAAGGCGACATGGATCCTTACAGCCATCCATGGTAGAGCCCCTGCAGAGAATAGATAGAAGATGGTTCAAAGATTTGAGTTCTCAGTTTTTTCCAAAAAGGTTTTTTATTTTCTATTCATCTGTCAGATCACCTTGAAACTCAATCCGACCAGCAAATAGGAAAGGATTCCATTGGATGACAACACCGACTTTGAAGTAGGGTTCTGAATAGAAACAAAATTGAAAACCATATTATTAAAGATTAATATAATTCAATTTTATTCTACATTTAGGTACAGTTTAACTTTCAATAGTTTAGGCAAATATTAAAATAAGAGAACCAACAATTTAGACAAGAATTCTGCATTTTCATGAAAGTCAGAATTTATTTAGTGAATGAGCTTCCATAAATTTCCCCAAATAACTGTTTGTCATTGTTCTGACTTCTACAGATGCTTTCTATATATGTATAATAAGGAAACGAAAGCATTTATTCAGTTTTTCCCTTTGTGATGCACCTGAGACAACAGCAAGTGTTGGCTTGATGTGTAACACTTTTCATATATGCTTCTTCTATCTTCTTTCCATTGAACAAGAAGTATTTATATATAAAACATATTCCCTGGGGGGCTAGTGAGCAATGGAGAAGTAGGCAGCATTTCCCTGGAGCTCCTGCAAGTTTAGAAATCAGACAAGACAGCGAAAGAACCAGATGCGGCCGCCCCTGACTCACCTAAAGGTAGCTATCCGATAGCTAATGCTACCATCCTAGAGGATATAAACTCTCTCTGCACAGAACTGCGAATCACCAAATCCGAAATTTGTCAGACAATAGACACTCACATCGGAGAGGTATCTGCCACTATTAGAGGAGAACTCCTCGCCCTCAAATCGGAAACTCAAAACACCATTCATGGGCTTAAAACGGCCAACGACAAACAAGGCGAGTCCATTGCTGAAATAGAACGATTTGCCACACAATCAGCAGACAGCATAACCGCGCTACAGTCAGAGAAAAAACGTCTACGCACAGAAACTAATCAGCTAACAGATAAATACATGGTTCTTGAAGGAAGGTCCAGACGACAAACATACAGATTGCAATGTTAAAAGAAGGGGCAGAGAAAGGCGCAGAATTGAACTGATTCGTCTCGCAGCACCTGAAAGATGTGCTGGATCTGGATGACTTACCGCTGGTGGACCGTGCTCATAGATCATCACTGTTAACTTATGTTCAAGAGATACTAGCCAAAATTCTAGCTAATAGTTGGATATTGATAAATAATTCATCCCGATCAGACGGGTTTTATGCCAAATAGGCACTCCTTTTTCAATTTGCGACGTCTGTATAATGTAATTTACTCTCAAAGGGAGGAAACTTCTGAGTTGGCTGTCCTTTCCCTCGATGCTGAAAAGGCCTTTGATCAAATAGAATGGCCTTACCTATTTTCAACCCTAAGAAGATATGACCTTGGCTAACACAAAATTGTTAAAGATTATTTATCATAAACCTTGTGCTAGAATTGTCACTAATAAGACACCATCTCTGGCATTTCATTTACATAGGGGTACTAGACAAGGCAGCTCACTCTCACCATTACTTTTTGCCTTGGCCCTAGAACCCCTTGCACAATCAATTGGTGCCACCCCTCTTATACAGGGATACATTACCAAAGGGACTATAAATAGTATTTCTTTATATGCGGATGATATTTTACTATTCATTACCAAAATTCAGTGTACTATACCAACGCTCCTGGATACAATCTCTCAGTTTGGCAGGTTCTCCAGTTATAAAATCAACTGGTCAAATGCAAACAGATGCCAATTAAGCTCAAAGACCCTTTGACCTTGGAAAATATGCCATTTAAAATAGCTAACAAAAAATTCACCTATCTTGGAATAGAGATTACTAGGGACTTTAATTCGCCCTATGAAGCTAATATCCCCCCCACCCCCCACCTCCCTTGGTGAAGCTGAGATCACTTCCCATTTCCCTTGTGGGAACTATCAATGCAATAAAAATGTTTTTTCTACGTCATATCCTTTACCTGTTCCAAAATATCCCCATCTTTTTACCTAAGAAATTTTTTAAGAAACTTAATTCCATAATCATCATAATACGCTTTGCATTATTACAATTTGGCTAGATCGTAATTTTACACAATCCAAGTAGATTACAACGGAAAAGGAGGATTGCAGACATTGGTGCTCTTATTCTGTCACCAACAAGCTTAGATACCTGAGCATACAACAAAAACCGCATATTTTTCATAATACTATAGATATTTGGAAACAGATAAAATCCCAGTTTGGTATTAAATCTATATCTACTTTATTGCCAATAGCAAAGAATCCTTAATTTGTCCCTTCCTCTTTAGATTCAGGTTATACGCAATGGAAAAATCTAGGTATTGGGACTGTTGGTGACCTGTTGATGGGAGGTAATTTCGTCTCTTTTTCTCAACTTCAAGCCAAATTTGGTCTCCATAAACAGAATAATTTTAGATACCTACAGGTCAGGGCATATGTCAAAAAACACATGCATACTTTAGAGAATGAATTTGACGAACTCTTTAAACTGGGAGGTGGGGAAGGACATCTAATTTCCCAGATTTATAATGTGTTACTATCCAAATCCTTGCCATCCATGCAGAGCCTTAGAACAGAACGATCAAGTAAATTGATACGACTGCATAAAAATAAAACGACAAGCTGGTCCCATCTAGGCATAATCGGAGACAATGACACACTGAATTGTGCTTGTGATGTCCAGTCTGCTCCGTATCTTTGTTTTGGTTGCTGTAACCGCAGAAAATCCCGCTTCACAAAGATAGGATGTTATAGATAGGATGAGTCTTGAACTGAGAGGCACAGATGCAGATAAAACATCACTCAGACTCTGATCGTCGATAAATTATAAATACATGTACATATACATATATATATATATATATATATATATATATATATATATACATATATATATACATATATATATATATATATATATATATATATATATATATATATACATATATATATATATATATATATATATATATATATACATATATATATATATATACTTTTTTCTGTGCGGCCCGGTACCGGTCCGCGGCCCGGTGGTTGGGGACCGCTGACATAAAAGATCCCCGCTATGTGACAAATGCCATATTGAAGAAGCCACACTCCTACATTCGTATTTTTTGTGTACAAAATTAACCACATTTTGGTCTGGCATATTCAAAGAGAGAGTGTTTCTGTTGATGTCTCGTTTGTTTCGTTTTGAGTTTGTGTTACCTTTATGTTTTATGTTCATATCAAAAAATAGGACAAATTTGAATTGTTGATGTTTGAATTTTCATGTATATTTCCTCAATAAAACACTTTAAAACACATATACAGGTGCTGGTCATAAAATTAGAATATCATGAAAAAGTAGATTGATTTCAGTAATTCCATTTAAAAAGTGAAACTTGTATATTATATTCATACATTACATACAAACTCATATATTTCAGATGTTTATTTTGTTTAATTTTGATGATTACAAATGACAACAAATGAAAATCTCAAATTCATCATATCAGAAAATTAGAATATTGTGAAAAGGTTCAAAATTGATGGCCCCTGGTGCCACACTCTAATCAGCTAATTAACTCAAACCACCTGCAAAAGCCTTTAAATGGTCTTTCAGTCTAGTTCTATAGGCTACACAATCATGGGGAAGACTGCTGACTTGACAGTTGTCCAAAAGACGACCATCGACACCTTGCACAAGGAGGGCAAGACACAAAAGGTCATCGCTAAAGAGGCTGGCTGTTCACAGAGCTCAGTGTCCAAGCACATTAATAGAGAGGCGAAGGGAAGGAAAAGATGTGGTCGAAAAAAGTGTACAAGCAAGAGAGATAACCGCACCCTGGAGAGGATTGTGAAACAAAACCCATTCAAAAATGTGGGGGAGATTCACAAAGAGTGGACTGCAGCTGGAGTGAGTGCTTCAAGAACCACCACACACAGACGTATGAAAGACATGGGTTTCTGCTGTCGCATTCCTTGTGTCAAGCCACTCTTGAACCACAGACAGCGTCAGAAGCGTCTTGCCTGGGCTAAAGAGAAACAGGACTGGACTGCTGGTGAGTGGTCCAAAGTCATGTTCTCTGATGAAAGTAAATTTTGCATTTCCTTTGGAAATCAAGGTCCCAGAGTCTGGAGGAAAAGAAGAGAGGCACTTCATCCACGTTGCTTGAAGTCCAGTGTAAAGTTTCCACAGTCAGTGATGGTTTGGGGTGCCATGTCATCTGCTGGTGTTGGTCCATTGTGTTTTCTGAGGTCCAGGGTCAACGCAGCCACATACCAGGAAGTTTTAGAGCACTTCATGCTTCCTGCAGCTGACCAACTTTTTGGAGATGCAGATTTCATTTTCCAACAGGACTTGGCACCTGCACACAGTGCCAAAGCTACCAGTACCTGGTTGAAGGACCATGGTATCCCTGTTCTTAATTGGCCAGCAAACTCTCCTGACCTTAACCCAATAGAAAATCTATGGGGTATTGTGAAGAAGAAGATGCAATACACCAGACCCAACAATTCAGAAGAGCTAAAAGCCACTATTAGAGCAACCTGGGCTATCATAACACCTGAGCAGTGCCACAGACTGATCGACTCCATGCCACGCCGCATTGCTGCAGTAATACAGGCCAAAGGAGGCCCAACTAAATACTGAGTGCTGTACATGCTCATACTTTTCATGTTCATACTTTTCAGTTGGCCAACATTTCTATAAATCCTTTGTTTTTATTGGTCTTCAGTAATATTCTAATTTTCTGATATGATGAATTTGAGATTTTCATTTGTTGTCATTTGTAATCATCAAAATTAAACAAAATAAACATCTGAAATATATGAGTTTGTATGTAATGTATGAATATAATATACAAGTTTCACTTTTTAAATGGAATTACTGAAATCAATCTACTTTTTCATGATATTCTAATTTTATGACCAGCACCTGTATTAAACATATTCCCTACGCACTATTATGATGCTAAGCACTACAAGCTAACCACAGGCTGGTGGTTAGTTTCACCGCTCTTGGTTAGTTTTCACCGCAGACACCATCATGGAAAAGTGTGGTATGTTGCAAAACTAAACTTACCCGCATTAACAATATTCATCCGAAAGTCCATACTGGCTTTAAGACAGCAATCGGCATAAATTTGTATTAAAGTTTAAAGTAGTTCACGTGTCCAAGAGTGCAAGTGGTTTGCACCTACTATGTGCCACGTCACTGGTAAAGATCTAACATGGCGGTACCAGTCACGTAGGACGCACGTACATGCATAGTAGGTGCAACACTTGCAGAGTACCTCTATGCATACTTGCATGCCAGTGTTTCCCATACTGCATATGCAAATATAATGCTACTTATGAAGTTCGGTAAAAAAAAATTGGTCATGTCTATTAATTAAAGCTGATAGTTTTAAATTACATTTAGAAAAAGGTAAACAATTAAAAAAGATGGTACTCATAACTTTAGTAGGAATTGGGAAGAGGGTTTGTGTTAAGGACTGCACAAAAGTGGAAGGGGTATACGTTTTACTTCTTCATTGCCTCCCTTCCTGAGGCATAACCCAGTATTGGGGTATTGCAGGCTAACAAAAAACCCCAAATAACTTCCCATTCCTAAAGGGCAGACCTGTTCTTCTGGTTCAATTCGCATCTTTTCTAAATCAAAACAAGTTTGTGGGCTACTGCATAAAGCTTCTAACTCAACGCTAATTCTGACATTTTTAATTGAGAAAGCTTTCTGGAAGCGAAACGTCTTCAAACTTGGAGACTAATTCCAGTGGATTGGTTTTTTTGTTTTGTTTTTTGTTTTTTGGGATAGCTCATCAAAATCGTTTACCACAAAACCCCAAAACAATCCTTAATTTTAATGCATTCCAAGCAGGTACTCCACTATGACCTGGATGACTGAGAATCTTCACCAGCATATTCTTCATTACCTTTTTCAGACATAAACACTTAATTATACATTTAACATACTGATATACACTCAACGGCCACTTTATTAGGTACCCAATGCTAGTAACGGGTTGGACCCCCTATGCCTTCAGAACTGCCTCAATTCTTCGTGGCATAGATTCAACAAGGTGCTGGAAGCATTCCTCAGGGAGTTTGGTCCATATTGACATGATGGCATCACACAGTTGCCGCAGATTTGTCGGCTGCACATTCATGATGCAAATCTCCCATTCCACCACATCCCAAAGATGCTCTATTGGATTGAGATCTGGTGACTGTGGAGGCCATTTGAGTACAGTGAACTCATTGTCATGTTCAAGAAACCAGTATGAGATGATTCCAGCTTTATGACATGGCGCATTATCCTGCTGAAAGTAGCCATCAGAAGTTGGGTACATTGTGGTCATAAAGGGATGGACATGGTCAGCAACAATACTCAGGTAGGCTGTGGCGTTGCAACGATGCTCAATTGGTACCAAGGGGCCCAAAGAGTGCCAAGAAAATATTCCCCACACCATGACACCACCACCACCAGCCTGAACCATTGATACAAGGCAGGATGGATCCATGCTTTCATGTTGTAGACGCCAAATTCTGACCCTACCATCCGAATGTCGCAGCAGAAATCGAGACTCATCAGACCAGGCAACGTTTTTCCAATCTTCTATTGTCCAATTTTGATGAGCTTGTGCAAATTGTAGCCTCAGTTTCCTGTTGTTAGCTGAAAGGAGTGGCACCCGGTGTGGCCTCAAAGTTCGACGTACTGTGCGTTCAGTGATGCTCTTCTGCCCACCTTGGTTGGGTGGTTATTTGAGTCGCTGTTGCCCTTCTATCAGCTCGAACCAGTCTGGCCATTCTCCTCTGACCTCTGGCATCAACAAGGCATTTCCGCCCACAGAACTGCCGCTCACTGGATGTTTTTTCTTTTTCGGACAATTCTCTGTAAACCCTAGAGATGGTTGTGCGTGAAAATCCCAGTAGATCAGCAGTTTCTGAAATACTCAGACCAGCCGTTCTGGCACCAACAATCATGTCACGTTCAAAGTCACTCAAATCACCTTTCTTCCCCATACTGATGCTCGGTTTGAACTGCAGGAGATTGTCTTGACCATGTCTACATGCCTAAATGCACTGAGTTGCCGCCATGTGATTGGCTGCTTAGAAATTAAGTGTTAACGAGCAGTTGGACAGGTGTACCTTATAAAGTGGCCGGTGAGTGTATATCATTGATTATACATAATGTTTGTATGCATTAAATTTATGATTTTACTGGATTGTCTGAAATAAAGTTATTAATTCATACAAAGCTCTAATGATCAAATAGAAGTATTAAAGAGGTATCACTGAACAAAATCTTAAGATGAAACCATTTAATCGTCTATTTTAGAACAAAAAGGAAAAATGATAGTCTGTGACAAAGTGGTTCAGTTTGTGTTCACCACTTGTCCCTTTTTCTTTTTTCTGATTTGCAATGCTTAAATTTAAACATTAGTTTGCAACTTTGCTTCACTTACTATGTAGGAAAATGCAACACCACTTCGGTCTACTTCAGCAGGAGGTCCACATGGAACGCCAAGAGCATCAGATGCAGCTGGAAGGTGCAGTAGCTGATCCTGGAAGGCTTCTCAATGCTACAGTAAGATCAAAAGTGCCACAATCAGTACAACAGGGAGGAAGCCTTCCAAGCACATCTGAGGAACCAAAAGCATCCAGTCTGAGATCATCCAGTTGGAAAGGTTCAAAGATGCAACCCTATGGTGAGGATGAAGATATTGAACATTATTTAACAATATTTCAAAGAATTGCAACATCTGGCACCATTTCTCAGTGGTAAAGCAAGAGCTGCTTATGTAGCTATGGACACTGATGACACAATGGACTATGACAAGGTAAAAACTGCTGTGTTGGAAAAGTTTGAAATAAGTACTGGGACTTACAGATCGAGGTTCCGGGCCACAACAGTGAAGGAAGATGAGACACCCAAGGAGCTGCGAACACGCCTTAAAGACCTGTATGAAAAGTGGATGGTTCCAAAGGAAAAGACACAGACCAAAGTATTCCAAAGAAAATTCCCCAATCAGTAGCAATAACTGTGTTAGGGAATTTAAACGGAAAGGTCAGTTGGTTTGTCACTCTTGTGGCCTCACTGGTCATTTTAAGGCTAATTGCCCAAGTCAGCAAGTCAGTAAGACTTGCTGTTTTTTGTAGTGTTTTTCACCAGAGTGTTTTGATTAGTTAGAGGAAGAACGTGAGTCTGTAGTACCCTCAAGTGCGCAGGAGCACACAATCTGTGTTTTTTTTTCAGGGAAAGGCTTGTGTCGCTCTATTAGATTCAGGTAGTAGCTGTACTCTTATAAGGCAAGATTGTCTTCCCAGAGACACCACGTTATGTGTTAAAGTCTGGTGTGTTCATGGTGATGATGTTGTACTTCAAGTACATGAACAGCAGCATTTGCTTACAGTTGGAGTGATGGATAAACTTCCATACCAGGTTGTATTGGGTCGGGATATGCCAATCCTTGGGGACCTGTTAGCAAAGAGTGAGAAAGATTTAGATTTTTCAGGCGAAGTTCTGCTTGCTGTCACTAGGTTTAGCTCTAAGCTGTGTCAGTCAGAGCCTGGTTTGAGAGGGCACCATTCAAGAAAAAGCAGGAGTCAGAAGAGACAAGATAAAGTAAGGGAGACAGAACTTGCTGAGTTGCTTTCTGAACCAGAGATCGATAAGCGTCTATTCCACCTGCTCTTAGAAGTAATGATTTTATGGGATTCTTTATAAATAATTAAAAATAAGATCATTAGCACTCATCTATCCGTGATTGGTTTGTTTCTGGAGGGTGGGGTAGTATCTGAGGTAGTCATGGAATCTGAACCGGGTTTAGACTGCTTTGATCCAGTTGAACTTTCAGAGTTAGCAAAATTATTGTCTTCATCTAAGAGTTCAACTTGTATGTTAGATCCAGTTCCAACCAGGTTATTTAAGGAATTATTCCCTTTGATCTCGTCCTCCATTTTAGATGTGATTAATCTATCTCTCTTACAGGGATATGTACCTAAAGCTTTTAAGGTTGCTGTAATTAAACCTCTGCTTAAAAAACCGTCTCTTGACCCTGATGACTTGGTCAATTAAAAACCTATATCCAATCTTCCATTCTTATCAAAAATTCTTGAAAAAGTAGTTGCCAAACAAGTGTGGGATCACTTACATCATAATGAACTTTTTGAAGAGTTTCAGTCTGGCTTTAGAGCTCATCATAGCACTGAAACAGCTCTGGTGAAAGTCACTAATGATATTCTCATGGCCTCAGATAATGGACTTGTATCTGTGCTCGTCCTGTTGGATCTCAGTGCTGCATTTGATACAGTTGACCATAATATTCTTTTAGAAAGACTTGAATATTTTGTTGGAATTAAAGGTACAGCACTAGACTGGTTTAAATCTTATATATCTGATCGAATTCAGTTTGTTCATGTAAATGACAGATCGTCCACATGCTCAAAGGTTACCTGTGGAGTACCACAAGGATCAGTGCTAGGACCAATTCTCTTTACTTTATACATGCTCCCAATTGGTAGAGTTATTAGACAACATGGGATTAATTTTCGCTGTTATGCTGATGATACCCAGCTATATCTGTCTATAAATCCAGATGAAGCTAACCCGTTGCATAGACTACAGGCATGTCTCGAAGACATAAAAACCTGGATGACTCTTAACTTCCTCCTTCTGAATGCAGACAAAACAGAAGTTATACTCCTTGGACCAGCGCCTTTGAAAAATAAGCTGATTAGTCAGTCACTTCATTTGGATGGGATAAACTGATTTAAGATAATAAGGTAAAAAATCTTGGTATTGTTTTTGATCAGGATCTTTCATTTAAATCCCATATCAAAGAGGTTTCTAGAATTTCCTTCTTTCGTCTGAGGAATATTTCAAAGATTAGAAATATCCTGTCCAGGGGTGATGCTGAGAAACTAGTCCATGTACACTATATTGCCAAAAGTATTTGCTCACCCATCCAAATTATTGGAATCAGGTGTTCCAATCACTTCCATGGCCACAGGTGTATAAATTCAAGCACCTAGGCATGCAGACTGTTTTTACAAACATTTGTGAAAGAATGGGTCGCTCTCAGGAGCTCAGTGAATTCCAGCGTGGAACTGTGATAGGATGCCACCTGTGCAACAAATCCAGTCGTGAAATTTCCTCGCTCCTAAATATTCCACAGTCAACTGTCAGCTGTATTATAAGAAAATGGAAGTGTTTGGGAACGACAGCAACTCAGCCACGAAGTGGTAGGCCACGTAAACTGACGGAGCGGGGTCAGCGGATGCTGACGCGCATAGTGCGAAGAGGTCGCCAACTTTCTGCAGAGTCAATCACTACAGACCTCCAAACTTCATGTGGCCTTCAGATTAGCTCAAGAACAGTGCGCAGAGAGCTTCATGGAATGGGTTTCCATGGTCGAGCAGCTGCATCCAAGCCATACATCACCAAGTGCAATGCAAAGCGTCGGATGCGGTGGTGTAAAGCACGCCGCCACTGGACTCTAGAGCAGTGGAGACGCGTTCTCTGGAGTGACGAATCGCGCTTCTCCATCTGGCAATCTGATGGACGGGTCTGGGTTTGGCGGTTGCCAGGAGAACGGTACTTGTCTGACTGCATTGTGCCAAGTGTAAAGTTTGGTGGAGGGGGGATTATGGTGTGGGGTTGTTTTTCAGGAGCTGGGCTTGGCCCCTTAGTTCCAGTGAAAGGAACTCTGAATGCTTCAGCATACCAAGACATTTTGGACAATTCCATGCTCCCAACTTTGTGGGAACAGTTTGGAGCTGGCCCCTTCCTCTTCCAACATGACTGTGCACCAGTGCACAAAGCAAGGTCCATAAAGACATGGATGACAGAGTCTGGTGTGGATGAACTTGACTGGCCTGCACAGAGTCCTGACCTCAACCCGATAGAACACCTTTGGGATGAATTAGAGCGGAGACTGAGAGCCAGGCCTTCTCGTCCAACATCAGTGTGCAACCTCACAAATGCGATTCTGGAAGAATGGTCAAAAATTCCCATAAACACACTTCTAAACCTTGTGGACAGCCGTCCCAGAAGAGTTGAAGCTGTTCTAGCTGCAAAGGGTGGACCGATGTCATATTGAACCCTATGGATTAGGAACGGGATGTCACTTAAGCTCATATGTGAGTCAAGGCAGGTGAGCAAATACTTTTGGCAATATAGTGTATTTGTTACTTCAAGGCTGGACTATTGTAATTCTTTACTATCAGGAAGTCCACAAGCTGTAGTTAAAAGCCTTCAGCTGATCCAAAATGGTGCAGCCAGATTTCTGATGAAAATTAAAAAGAGAGATCATATCTTTCCTATCCTGGCTTCTCTTCATTGGCTTCCTGTTAAATCCAGAATAGAATTTAAAATCCTCCTCACATAAAAAGCCTTAAATGGCCAAGCTCCATCAGAGATCTAAATGTTACTTATGTTCCTAACAGAGCACTTTGCGCTCAATCTGCAGGTTTACTAGTGATTCCTAGAATTTCTAAAAGTAGAATGGGAGGCAGATCTTTAGTTATCAGGCTCCTCTCCTGTGGAACCAACTACCAGTTTTAGTCCGTGAGGCAGACAACCTGTCTAATTTTAAGACTAGGCTTAAAACTTTCCTTTTTGATAAAGCTTATAGTTAGAGTGGCTCAGGTTATCCTGAGCTATCTCTATAGTTATGCTGCTGTAGGTCTTTACTGTTGGGATCTGGAGCTGTACCACATTCCTCCAGCAGAGTGCGCCGTGGGTCCTCCTGAGCTGAGCTTCCAACACACCTGTGGCCCATCTCATCATCAGAGGATCCCCTATATAACCTGCCTTCAGACCTTGCCTCAATGCCGCAGTGTTGATCTAGTTTGGTTAGCACCTGAGCCTAGTAAACCTGAGAATCTTTGCTATCTCTAGTTGAGATAAGATTCTAACTCTTCCTTGTTTTTGCCTCACAGGAATCCTGTCTCTTCGTGAAGCTCTGGATGAGCTTAACCTGCCCTCGTGAGCCTAACCTGAAGACTCTTCTCTGGATTCCCCTGCAGCTCTTGGTTAAGAGCTGGAAACCCAAATCAAGGTCTGCCCTCAAAGTCAGAAGTAAGACGCTGAAGCAGTTATTGGACTCTGCTGAACAAACAGTCTCTGGACCCAACAGTTACCTCTCTCAAAGAGAAACCCGGACTCCTTCAAGGTATTCCTCAGCAAACTCTAAGACTCATAATTCATCAGTTCCTGTGCTAACTGAACTGTCATCCCTGCAGACTCCAGTGAACCTGCCCCCAGGCCTGAACCAGTTCCAGTGCAATATTCATGTGCTTGTGTTAACAATAAACCTTGTTAAACTTTTCATCAGCCTCCGTGTGTGTTCTGCATATTGGGTGTACTCAGTAACTAATCATGACATTTACTTCTGGATGATATAGGGGCCCCCATTTCATCATTCTACTTCATTCTGTCTCTATTCTCCCAATCTGCAGAATCTGTTAGTTCAATCTCTAACGTTATGCTCTCTCTGCTTTTTCTCAGAGTAGCTTTACCTCTTCTGTTCCTGTTTGGCTGTGATGCCATCCTGGAGAGAAATATCAGCTGTGCTGCTTCCATCAACACCCTTGTTTATAGATACTGGAGATCGGCCTGTTTTCCACTGTAGACCTGTTTCTCTGACTGTGACCGGCTGGATGTGCTCTCTTCATCCTCTGACATGAGAGCTGGTTCGGAGCTCGTCTGTCTGGCTGTGTGTTTCCTGGATGGGGCTGCCTTTTACAGTTGCTTTTTGTATCCCTGCTTCTGTCTCCTTGACCCCAGTTGGCCTTGGCAGATGGCCGCTCACACTGAGCCTGGTTCTGCTGGAGGTTTCTTCCTGTTAAAAGGGAGTTTTTCCTCTCCACTGTCGCTACAAGCATGCTTAGTGTGAGGGATTGCATTTGAGTCAATGCAATCAACTGGTTTTACTTAGATAGAAAATTTTAAATCAGTTTGACTGTATGATCTGGTTGAACTGTAAAGTGCCTTGAGATGACATGTGTTGTGAATTGGCGCTATAGAAATAAACTGAATTGAATTTAATTAAGCTACGGTTGGTTTCAAGCAATATTGGGCAGGACCCCTCTTCACTACCTCTGTTTGTTAAGTGTTCCCAAGAATCAACACTCATTACAGAGGGAGTTCGGGAAGTTAACATTTTAAAGAATGCCTACGCTGGTATCGTCGTAGCAAAGTGGGTGACCAGCTAGTGGTTCCCACTAGCTTAAGGGAAATAGTTTTACAGTTGGCCCATTCGGTTCCTTGGGTGGGTCATTTATGATATGTGAAAACCTTCTCCAGAATGCCTGATCGTTTTTTTTTTTTGGCCTCAACAGTTTTCAGATACTGTTCAATACTGCTAATCATGTCCTGAGTGTCGGTTGACAGCTCTGAGTAAGAAAGGTGACAGAGCCCCACTTATTCCTATGCCTATAATAGACACTTCCTTCTCTCGTGTTGGCATGGACATTGTTGGGCCATTGGAGAGAAGTAGCTCGAAACATAGATGCATGCTAGTGGTGTGCGACTATGCAACAAGGTACCCTGAAGCTTTCCCATTGAGAGGAATTAAGGCCCGCCAAATAGCTAATTGTTTGATACAGATCAGGGATCAAACTTCACTTCTAAACTATTGAAGGAAATTTATAAACTTTTGGGATTGAGTGGAATCAAAACAAGTCCATACCATCCTCAAACCAATGGACTTGTTGAAAGGTTTAATAAAACTAAGAGGTCCATATTGAAGAAGTTTGTAAAAGACTCAGGGAAAGACTGGGATCATTGGTTACGATTTCTGCTATTTGCTTGTAGAGAGGTACCTCAAGCATCTGCTTGGTTTTCTCCTTTTCAACTCTTGTATGGTCATACTGTCAGGGGTCCACTAGATGTCCTCAAAGAGGCATGAAAGACAGTGTACATCACTCTCGTATGTGTTGAAAATGAGGGAAAAGCTCACCTAGTAAAAGCCCAGCAGTGGCAAAAGTAGAACTATGATAAAACAGCCTGGAGGAGAACCTTTAAGAAAGGACAAAAAGTGTTGCTTAAACAGAAGGGTGGGTCCTGTTACTTACAAGTTCAACATGCCAGATTACCATAAAAAAACAGCAAGTCTTTCATGTCAACATGTTGAAAAAGTGGATTGACCATCTAGTTCCATAAATGCAGTTGTGGGCCCATGCTGTAATCGACGAAGAAGATCTTCAAGAGTAATTCTTTCCATCTAATTGTGGGGAACAGCTTTTGCCAGATGTAAGCCACCCATCTCCAGAGTGGTAAGATGAACTGTCAGTACAAAACCAAGCTACCCTTATCTCATAAAGCATGACATAATTTGCAGCCCTAATCAACCACCTATCAGGGATACAACCTCCAGAGTTCCAGCAAAGCTCATGCCTGCACTGAAACAGGATGTGGAAGAAATGGTGGCTATGGGGATCATAGAACCTTCCAGAGGTTAGTGGTGCAGCCCTATGGTGCTTGTTCCCAAGAAAATGATTCAAGACAGATATTTTGTGTTGATTTTTCATCACTTAATGCTGTCTCTGTTTTTGATGCTTATCAAATGCCAAGAGTTTATTAACTTATTGAGCATTTGGGGAGTGCTAAGTACCTTACCACACTTGACCTCTGTAAAGGTTAGTGGCAAGTTCCATTTACCCGGTCCTCACAGGATTTGACCCCTTTTAGGGTTCCGAGTGGACTTTATCGTTTTAGGACTATGCCTTTTGGACTTAATGGAGCTCAAGCTACATTCTAACAGGTGATGGACTTGGTTTTAAAAGGAGGCTGAAGGCTATGGAGCAGCCTACATTGATGACATTAAGGTGTTCAGTGAGACATGAAAAGACCACATGAAGCATCTGACAAATGTTCTGCAATTAATTAAAACAGCTGGATTAGTCATCAACCCTGGAAAGTATCACTTTGCAAAGACTGAGGTTGAATACGTCATCAGGGGTGGGGTTATCCGCCCTCAGGAGAGTAAGATTGATAACCTTGTTGCTTGTCCTCCTCCTACAACTAAGAAAAAACTAAGATCTTTTCTAGGTTTAGCTGGCTGGTACCGTTAGTTAATCCCCAACTTCTCCACCAAGTCAGCCATTCTTAGTGACTTAACACGTAAATCTTGCCCAAACAAGATTAAATGGACTCCAGAGTGTGAGGTTGCATTTGCAGATCTGAAAAATTGTTTGTGTAATGAACCTGTGTTGTGTAGTAAAGTGGTTCAGTTTGCGTTTATCACCTGTCCCTTATTCTTTTTTTCTGATTTATAATGCTTAAACTTAAACATTAAATTGCAACTTTGCTTCACTACTATTGTGTTAGCATTATCTTGCAGTTTTCATCTATTTATGTTTAGATTACTTCTGGATTATTGGTTGCAATTGTTTATTTTGTTTCAAAGTATATTCATGGTTGTTTTCCTTTTTACTCACTCAGTTTGTAAATTAGATTTATAATTTTATTCTTGTTTCTCTGTTTAGACTTTATTTTTTGTTTTTCTACCTGTCTAATTGTGGCTTAATTCACTCAAGTGTGCAGGTGTGTTGCCACTTGGTTATGTAAGCACTGTGCTCTTGAAAGCTCAGGGAGGGTTGTCAGAGTAAAAATGCTGAATAAAAGACAACAGAGAAGTCTGGAACTGGTGGCTGAATAAATTTAAGACCAAGCCTACAGTCAATAATTTACTGAAACAACAAAAAAGTAACCTTAACTGTCTAAAGGAGAGTGGTAGAACTAAGGTCCAACTTTCAATCCTCCTAGTGAATGTATGGAAGCAGAAGTGTCCAGCACTTTTCCCAGCAACTGGTACTAAACAGAAAGGAAAACTTGATATAATAACAAAAATGTGCCCACAAAGTTTGATCATGTGTTGCTAGGGAAAGTGCAAATTATCTCTCAAAGTAAAAGTAATCTCGCATCCACTATTCATTTTTTGTTGTGTCCTTTCTGCTGTTCTCACTCACAGACCTGGTCAAGTTTTAATGACAATGGTACTTCTAACAGGTTTAATGACACAACTGCTAAAATTATTAAAGGACAATCCTACATGATAGAGAACTTTCTGCAACGGAAATTATGATCATCTTCTTGTTGATTGCAGCCAAACCCACCTTTTTTTTTTCGCTCTCTTTCTGCTTCCATTGTGCTTGTTAGATTTTTTTTGTTGGTTTAGTAATTTCTTGTTAACCACAATGTTTTAAAAGTTATAAGCTTTAATACTAATGTTAAAAGCATGTGCCTCTTTTTTTATCTGTTTGTTCTACAAATATGCCTTTTTTTCTTTGCTTCCCAATTTTCTTTTCGAAGTTTTCTTTTGCAATTATCCTGTTATGCATGAAAAAAAAAAACTTGCTTTACTCTAAAAAATATATATAAAATATCAAAGAAAACTTTATGATAGCTTTTGGTAACAATAAGTTCCATCTTCTGTTGTATCCTCAGGTACACCCTTCAATAATATACTGTAGTGCTCTTCAAATCAAGCATGCAACAGTAGGCCACTTACTTAGTTTCCCCAGGTCATAGTTCTTGTCATCTGTGTCAAAGCATCAAAATTCCCTCAGATTTAAAAAACCTTCCTGGTCCCATGACCTGTTGCTACTGTAATCTTAGGGTCTGGATAACAGAGGCAATGCACTGCATAGAGCGGCCTGTTGCCTTTTTCTCATGTCTAACACAGGATATGTCTCAATCAATATATGAGTCAAACCACACCACAAAGTATGTCAGCAAGTATATTTGCAAAACCTTTCAACAAGTCTTCGTTTTGACAGCTGAATACATATAGACATAACAGGAAGACTTATTAGTATTTTTTAAATGTTTTACCTATCTGAAAAAGATGAATAAATATTTTCAGAACCTGATGAGGAACTGGATTTAAGTTTATAAAACAAAATATTTTTTGTCCTGCTTTGTTTGCTCATGTCACAAGCAGTGGTGGCTGCTGCTCTCTGAAACAGAGAAGCCTCAGTGGTTAAGCCACATTAACTGCCATCTCACACCATGCAGCAAGTAGGGCGAGTGGACTGTTCAGCCCTTAAAGAGCAAGCCTGTACTTATGCAGGCTCGCTAGAATTCAGCAGCAGGTGTAACAGCGGCCTGGTGGCAGAGGAAACATGTTCAGCCAAATGTAAATTCTGCTGTCTGCATCTTCATCATGCTGATAGAAAATCACAAGTTAGTCAATGAAAAAAACGGAATTAATTCCAAACGGGAAGGTCCTCTGACAGTATACAATTGTTTTAAGAAAGGGGCAAATGTTTAATGTTAACCTCCATGACAGAGCTAAAGGCAAACAACTGTGGCGTCACTGTGTTGCCATAGCAACAACTGCTTTCTTTTCCATTGGTGGGAAGAAACCGTCCCATTCTTGTTTATACCTCCCCACCGTCAATGAAGGCGCCTTCCACAGCTGCTAGTGAGAATAAATTGGTAGTGAAGCTTGATAGTTAAGGGTTACTGCTTAGGGGGCAGTTTGGAATTCAGCTTCTAAGAGGTTTAGCTTCACTGCCACTCAATATAATGAGATACTATCTAATTATAATGAGATAGTAACTCAATATAATGAGATACTATCTCATTGAAGCTTCTCCGTAACACAGATAACCATTACAATGGTGAGAAACTGATAATTAAAGTAATAAAAATTTTGACAAAAAATTGTCAAATTATCTCGGATAGTTTGTGTCACTGTCACATTATGGGTTTTTACTGTAATTCAATTTTTTTACTGTCAGAGACTTCATGCCATTAACTCATTTAACCATAAAACTCCTGCTCAGACTATCTCTTTTTCTGCTCCTTTCACTGCTGTCTTGTAACCAGTGGGGATTTCTTATTGAGTACCAGGGAAATGCCTGGGTAGATTTTCAGTCATGTGGGTCATGGCAGCCACAAACTGGCTATAGACTAACTTGTGATTTTCTGTCAGCATGACGAAGATGCTGACAGCAGAATTTACATTTGGCTGAACCAGGCGCGCTGGAAGCTGTTTCAAGCGAGGGGGGCTGATGGCTGGGTTGGAAAACACGTGACATCATTATGTTGAGGGCTGTGGCTGACGTTTTTAACATAATATTGTAGGCCTACATTTGTCGCCAAAAACTGCCATTTAAAATGCATCGGAACAAAGCATGAACATTTTAAACTTTATTTCTTCTCTTTTAATCATTCGAAACAAACAACAGCTCCCAATCAACAGGATCAGGAATACTTGAATAAAACATGGCCTAAATATAGCCTAAACTGAACATTGAACGTCTTGAAAGTCCATTCGACTATGGATATGGGGAATGATTTCATATCTGAAACAAAAAACACACACACAAAAAAAATTAACTAATTTCATATTTTATCACTAAATAGCTTAATACAGACATAATATTTAGTGATATGCAGCCTTATTCTAGCATATAGGGGAATTAAAACCATTTCTCTCCTCGAAATAGTCAGAAATACGTTTCTGCTGCCTATTGCTAGCCATGCCTAAACGAATGTGAGGTGGCGGAAGCTTCCGGGGGAGTAGCCTAGTTTTTTATGAAATATTAAAATAATGAATCATTAGTTTATATCTTATACACAGCCCATCATTTTAATCCCATGTCAAACACAGTCTTTTAAAAAATAAATACATAAATAATTTCATGTTTTTAAGTACAATATTATGTTACTCCACAGCCCCCCACCATGGGGGGCTGATGCTATGACGAGGGAGGCTGCAGCCCCCGAAGCACCCCCCTTCCCGTGCCACTGGGCTGAACGTGTTTCCTCCGCCATCAGGCCGCTGTTACACCTGCTGCCGAATTCTAGCGAGCCTGCACTTATGCAGACTCGCTATTTAAGGGCTGAATGGTCCACTTGCCCTACCCCCTGCATGGTTTGGGATGACACTTTATGTGGCTTAGCAGCAGCCACCACTACTTGTGACATGAGCAAACAAAGCAGGACAAAAAATATTTTGTTGTTTTATAAACTCAAATCCAGTTTGTTCCTTATCAGAAGAGGATTAGGGCCACTGAAAAAAAAAAGTTAACTGATTTTTAAATTTTATTTCAGTTTCTAACTTTTTTCTTTAGAATTCTGACTTTAATCTCAGAATTCTGACATTTTTCTCAGAATTCTGTCAGATAACAAACATGTTAGCATCAAGCCATAGCCATGTATGTTTTAGAGACTAGCTCTCTTGTTTTAATGACCTTCTGCTCCTCTATTAATGAGGGGACCCCTCAGGCACGTAAAAAGTTGCCGTCATTTTCCACCAATGTGTCACTGGCCCTCTCAAACAACTCACTCATCTTTGTCAGTGAAGCTGAGTACTTCAACATCTCTTCCTTCATGATGCCCATCTACATTAAGATCCCAAATTCTGAGATTAAAGTCAGAATTGTGCGAAAAAAGTCAGAATTCTGAGATTATAGTCAGAATTCTCAGAAAAAAGTCAGAATTCTGAGATTAAAGTCAGAATTGTGCGAAAAAAGTCAGAATTCTGAGATTATAGTCAGAATTCTCAGAAAAAAGTCAGAATTCTGAGATTAAAGTCAGAATTTACGGAAGCATATTGCATTCACCGAAGAAAAAAAAATCTGACAGCTTATTTCATAATTAGGAGATCAGTATCTCGTAATTACGAGATCTTTTCTCATAAATACGAGATATTATCTCGTTATTACGAGATCTTTTCTTATAATTACAAGATATTTTCTCATAATTACAAGATTTTTTCTCATAATTACGAGATATTATCTCATAATTACGAGATCTGTATCTCGTAATTACGAGATCCTGATCTCTATATTATAAGATCTTATCTATAATTACGAGATAAGATGTTTAATGTCATATTTAGGAGATCAGGAAGGACAGTTATTGCTGATCTCCACTACATGAAACGTGAACAATGAGTGGGTTGTTGGATTTAATATGCTTTTATTCAGTGTGCGAAATACCTGTTAATATTTGGGGGGTCTCCGTCTCCCAATTGTTGCACAATACCGATCTAAATTTTCTCAATATGAAGTAGGCCTATAACATTGCAAAATCAAAGTCAGCTTTAATGTAAATTCTTCACATTCACCAGACATACAAGGACTGGAGAGGACGTTTCTCATTCACCAACAGTGCAACAGATAAAGTGCAAAGGCACAACAGATAAGATCAGTTCCTAATACTAAAATTTAAACATTCAATTTCAAAATAAAATATAAAATGTACAATAATATAAAATATACAATATTTCTGCTAGTGCAAAAAGGCAGATGGTAATGGCAGCAGATAAAAATATTATTATTATTACCAATTATGTAAAATATATTTGTAACTGCACAGTAAATAAATATAGTAATAATAGTAGTGCAGGAGACAGTTTGTCCGGGATGTTTTTTTTTTTTTTTTGAGGGGGTGTCAGCTTCCTGACAGCCTGGAGGATCTAGCTGTGGGGAGAGAGTTTAGCTACCTGACAGCTTGGTGGATGAAGTTTTCTGTGAATCTGGTGGAGCGGGCAAGAGCCTGAACAGTCAGTCAGTCTATGAAAACACACACACGCACAAAGACTGTCTGTCTCTCTCTTTCACACACACACACGCACATGTCCTGCTTTAATCCAGTTTATGACGAATGGAACTGAGTCGAATTTGTCCAGAGGAGGTCTGTTGAGGTCCACAAACAGGAGTGAAGAAATGTGCTCTGTTCGAAAGCCTAGGACGCGTCCTTAGAAGACCAGATTCGAAGGACGATTATGTCATAGCTCGGTGCCGAGGTCTGGTCGGATTCCAAGACACCTCGTTAAGCGACCTTAAAATGCATCCTTCTTTTTGCCTGATTTGAAGGACGGATCCTTGGTTTACCCAGGATTCATTGCGAGACCAAGCAATCCGTGATTTGCTCCGTGATCAGAGGAAATGTTACTTGGCGCAGAACAGTGGTGAAAATTGGAAGTTCAGTTTGATATAATACAAGTCTGTGAATAGTTCCGTCTGAAATGAACGAAAATGGTTGTTTTAATGGTTATTGGGTTAGATGTGTGGCAGTAATGTTTGATTTATCTAAAGGTTTTTATCTGTTACAGTGTAAATGGGTTTGGCTGTAATTTAAGGACAGATTCTAATATATCTGCAGGGTGGGGACTTTAAATCTGATAGGAGTTTGATTTTTTTATTGCTGTTTTGCACAATATGCTTAACTACGTATTTTTTGTTGTTGAATATTAGAGATTTTGTAGATATATTTTTTATAAATATATTGTTTAGATTTACTTATATCTTTCTACCCCTTTTATAGAATAGAAAATCCCTTTATTGTCCCACAATGGGCAAATTTACAGCAGCAGAAAGATTATTAAAAATGGTCACACAAATGAGGACCTTAGAAAAATGTATAAGAATAACATAATAGGGAAGAGTTAAAATATAAACAATACAATTCTGTAAAGTGTTTTAACAATATAAAACTCTGCACCTGGAGAATCAACAACCAATCTACAGCTATGGACATTTTTACAGCAATTAATATTTGAAAATAGCAGCAACATCAGAGATGTGCAAAATGACAGCAGCATGTTATTTAACCAAGGTTTCTATCATTACATTGGCCTTTATTTGTTCATGCTCCCTGTGGTTGGCACCTTTATTCCACTCCAGATTCTTGTGAGTGTAGTCATTGTTCACTTTACAATAAAAAATAAAGTTTTGAAAACTTCGGTATTCATTCTTTTCCTGCTTTGTGCGTGGGAACGCGCAAACAGATTAGTAGTGCTCAGGGAAGTTTTTTAATTAAGTTCCCGAATCAACTGATCATTGAATCTGTATCACAGAGGCAATGGTGTTTATGATCAAGCAGCTGTCAATATAGAGCAACACAGTGGCATTGCCAATTTGATAATACAGTTTGGAGTGTGGTAGATAATAAGTTTTAGATAATAAATTAACTGGATTAGGTAGATAAACATTTTTTCTCCAAGACATTAGCAGAAACAACAAAGAAGACATTGATCCTCTGAGCAGATGTGTAATAAATTAATGAATTGATGGCTTAAAGGCTCTAAAAAAAAATCCACCCCAAATTACAGCATTACATTCAACATTACTGAAGTCAAGATGGTTCACTTTCAAACAGATTTAATCCCATTTTTAAAATGTAAAACAAACAAAACATTGACTATATGAGAATATCATTTTCAGACATGCACTTCTGAACATTGTTGTATACATTGTTTAAATTTAATGTTTTACAAATTTGATCTTTCAGACAGGTCAACAAAGTCAGAGACAGTAAAGGAAAAATAAGGCAAAATGATGAGTTATTTAAAATCTCAAAAAGTGTGCAGAACATTAACTCCTTACAGAAACCTGATACAGTTCATTCATTTAGAATGATTATTTAGAAGATTATATGAAAAGCAACTTTTATTTAGGAATGCACCGATATTAAAATCTGAGCCAATATTAATATAGCCTTTATGGCCAATATTCAACAACATTTAACTGAAAAAAACAAACATTCAAATTGCTTCTTTGCTTCAGTTAAACAAACCTGGCCCTGCATCACAATCACCGTCACATTACCAAATAAAACCCAATGAGCGGTCCACTCCCCTCCCCCTCCAGAAACAGTAACTACATTTCTTGTTAATAATGGCCCAGCTTTACCTATTAGACTGATCCAAAAATGTTTTTAAATGCCGCTTGATGTAAATAACAATATATTGTGCAAACCTAAAAAAATTTAAGTCAATAACTGAATTTTGTTTTAAAATGTATTTCTGATACTTTAATAAAAGGCAAAGAGCAGATTGTGTTTATGAAAGGATTACAGCATATTGTGTTCATTTGGACGTCCTGTTGACATGAGAAGTTTTATTAATGTATTCAGTGGTCTTCCTTTTTCACGATCTGCAGACCATTGAAGACCATCAGACTGCTGATCTGAATCACATGTTAAGGCAGAAAACACTCAACTAAGTGGCCGGATTAACTTTACTGAAGCACGTTTGTATGTACAGGGCTACAGAAGTTAACTTTAATTAAACAAGGACAGATCAGGAAACTGTTCACTTCTTGAATTTTCCCAGGTGTTCTCTGGCGATAATGAGCCTTTGGATTTGAGCTGTTCCTTCATAGATCTACAATAAAAGAAAGGATATTTAGAAACTCTGCATGTTTATATGTTGAGAGTAAATAAAATCTAGTTCCTTACCTGGTAGATCTTGGCGTCTCTCATCAGCTTCTCTACAGGGTGGTCGCTGTTGAAACCATTGTCTCCGAAGACCTGAACGGCGTCAGTGGCCACCTGATTGGCGATGTCTCCGGCGAAGGCCTTGGCAATGGAGGCGTAATAGGTGTTCCTGCGACCTTGATCGACTTCCCAAGCAGATCTCTGGTACGCCATCCTGGCCAGCTCAACCTTCATCGCCATCTCAGCCAGGAGGAAGGACACAGCCTGATGCTGTCAAACAACAGAGATATAATAATCATCACATTCTACCATCATTATTTTCAATCTCAAACTGACAGCAGTGAAGATAAAGTTATGAAATAAAAATGCTTTTGTCATAGATGTTAAAACAAATAATTCAGGCTGTAACTAATGACTATTTCAGAAATTAATAATCCAATAGAAATAAAAAAAGGAAAAGGTAAAAACAATCATCTGGACTTTGGTTCCAACTTTGAAGACGTTTCGCTTCCCATCCAGGAAGCTTTTTCAATTAAAAATGTCAGAAATAGCGTTGAGATCGAGGTTTATCCAATAGCAAGAGATGCTCAACAGGAGATTTTTTTAACCAAATTTAACCCAAGGTAAAACTTTAGCAATTTAGTAGTTCTGGTTAGAAAATATTTACAGACAAAGAAGGGTTTTACCCCAAATACTAAATCTATATTTTTGGTACAGTTTTTAGTTCTGGGCTAAGTTGGTTGTTCTTTCAATAGACTGCTTATTTTAGAGACAATAAACTCAACTAAAGGGTTACCAAATTAGTTGACAAGTATTTTAATGAGCAATTAATTGTGATTTATCAAATTTATTGTTTCAGCCTAACAAATAATAATACACATTTTACAACTATTGCAGCCTCCTAACCCCCATGACTCCGATGACAACACACAGGCTTAAATACACACCAGTTAGCTTTCCCTCCATTGGTAATCCACATCTTCTGCCCATTAACGACATACTCATCTCCCATCTTCACTGCACGGGTTTTTAATCCAGCCACGTCAGAACCCGCTCCTGGTTCAGTCACACAGTACGCCTTTGAAGAACAAAGAAAACATATTGCATAGGTTCAAAGGTTTAAACTGCAGAAAGTATTTAGAAACTGCAGAGGTAGGAGGAGGCCTAATAACTGTCTGCATAGCTTCACAAAACAATAAAAATAAAAACCGCTGGTGCCTGAAAAGAATCTTTAGCAAAGTAGCAGTTTTTTCCGACCCAAAACTTACACACATCAGCGGCTCCTCCGTCATTCTTCCCAGGTATTTCTTCTTCTGTGCTTCATTTCCAGCAATGATAACAGGCATTTGCTGCAGGGTGGAAAATAGAGAGTTCATTTATACTGAGCTACAAAATTAATGTATGTTATTGTTAAGGTGTGAGAACTATAAAACTTGTTAAAAAACACTAAGTGAATGTGTCTGATTATATATATTATATTGTAAATACGTCTAAATGTTATTTTTCTTTTTACCTCATTGTGTAGTGACTGTCACTATGTGCAAAGCTGCTGCTGCTACGCAGAAATTTCTCAGTTTGGGGCAAAAAAAAAAATATATATATATATATATATATATATATTTTCCCACACGAACACGCTCTCACAACGATGCGCGTTAAAGCGCATTATGCATGATGACACAAGTGATTAATGTTCAACACCAGTTGTTACATTACTGCATACAGTACAACATAGTTGCTTGTATTAATTTAAAGAAAGTCTTACCTAGTGCAGAAGTAACCGTCTTTTTTTACGTCCTGCGTAAACGTCCACAACCGTCTCAGGTGACAGCCTGGCAGTGATGTCGCGCTCGATGTGAAGCACAGAAAGGGATGAAAACCGCGCAGCTCCTGTTGTTAAGCGTAGCCAGGTGCGAATCCTTCTCATTGCAGAGAAACTCCTCTTGGAAGTGGCAGATCCAACGGGTAGAGTCAGTGCCAACTGCAGCAGCTTGTAAAGATTTGGATAAATGGCCCTTGTTACAGTTTTTTGAAAATTTTCACGTGACACAGATCCGACAATAGAGGCTTTAACAAGGTCCATCTCTGCCCCAACAAGGTGGTGGTTGATTTTCAGAGGCTGTGCATACTTTAGTACGAGAGGCTCAATTCCACTTTTGTCGCATCTTGACACTGCTGCACAGGCCTGTGCGAGTTCAACAGCTTCTCCCATGAATCGTCTGTCCAGTTCGCATATTATGGTATCCAGCACTGGGAATCCAGGGGTCTCACTCTGGGAAATTTGTACAGTATTTAAATCATTTTCTTATCTGTGGCCCAAAGTCGTTGTTATCAGGAAATTATCGAGGGAGGTGGCCCGTTTTCTTTTCAGTACAAGTGGTCCAGGACCAGCAGGTAACTGACTCTGAATGTTTACATCCTCGGGTAAGGAGATGTTTTTGTCTCTGCAGAACTGTTTCACTGATTCCCATACATCATTCCATTTGTCAGTCTGTCTCTGTGACACAAAGTGCGCTTTCAGGTTGTCTGTGAGCACAGCCGCTTCGGAAAGTGTGAGACTGGAGGACTGAAGGGCTTTGTGTGTGACATGAATCACATGCAGTATGTCTTCAAGTACAATGAGACATGTAATGACAACCTGCCCATATGCTCACATAAGCCAGTGGCCTCCACTGACCATTTTTCTCCCTCATCACTCTCAGGCACTGTGTAATCGCAGAGTAGTGTGTTTTAACGGCATGCAGAGCACGCCACTTGCATGCTCAGCGCGTCTCGCTGGGCTGTGCAATTTCGGTTGGCTTCATATCCAGCAATTTCTGGACTTCAATAAAGCGATGGTGGTTTGCAGGCTCTGCAAATACTGAGTACAATTTGTCGATAACATTCAGGAATGTTTTAACACTGCGGTTCACCGTGCAGCAGTCCACAAGTACGAGATTCAGTTTGTGAGCCAAGCAGTGTATGTACGCTGCATATGGATGGATCTCTTTAATGCCCTGCTGCACTCCAGACACTTGGCCAGACATTACAGAGGCACTATCGTAGCTCTGGGCAACAATTGAGATATTTTTCAGTTCGCAAATCTCCAATCCACTGTTTATGGCATCCACGATCCCAGCTGCATCTCGAGATGCGGAGCAATCAATAAAACACAAAAACCGCTCTTTGATTTGAAGCTGCTCTGTATATCTTAAACAGACTGACAGCTGCAAAAATCCTGCGTCATGCACTTTCTCTGCAATTTCTGCATGGACCAAATTTGCGCATATCTCAATTATTTCGTTCTGAAAATCTGGACTTGTAGCATTGAAATAATTAGACTGCATACTTTGAAAGTCAAAATCATATTTTGAGAAAAAATTGCAAACCTCAAGATAATTCCCCTGAGAATCTGAATCGATAGCCTTCCTGTGTCCACGGAAAGGCAATCCAAGTGACAGCAATCTCACTATATCCACAACTTTACAAAGATAAGATCTGTTCTTCTCAACTGTAGCGTTGTGGCTCTCCGACAATTTGGCAGCTATCGATCCTCCAGATGTGCTCTGTTTGAAGTTTTCCCATTTAACCATACAGTTCTGATGGGCAAGAGAATTTGCACGTTTTTCCAGTTTGATGCTTAGCTTTTTCCGGTCATTTATGCCCTTCTGGAATGATTCCTCCACGCTGCTGTCAGTCTGGAAGTGGCGGCAGGCGAAACAGAAGACAGCATCCTTTAAAATTGAGTATTCAAGCCAACAGTACTTGTTGTAGTAGTACGTGGAAAAGGCTCGTTTAGTTTTTCCTAACAATTTTGAAGGAAAAGCTGGAAGAATAGGGTGCTTAGGACAGCAGTGCTTGTCGCCAAGATCATTTGGTAGCTGCTGCACCGTAGTAGAGCTGCTAGGCAAGCTAACTGACCCCGACGATAGCCCCGCTCCCAATGGTGAGCTAGCTGGGTTTGCCGAGCTGGTCCCAGGTGTTTCCAGATCAGCATTTGTTGGTACTGGCTCTGCTTCGACTTCTTGCTGAGTGTTGGCGGAGGTCATGGGACGTTTTAAAAAACGTTGAATATCCATTTTCAGTTTGCAATCACACAAGGCTACAACTGTATGTTAGCGAGATAAATACTGAGTGGGAAACCACCAAGTAGCGGGAAACAGTATTCAACATCACTATGTCACATGATTGCTGAAAAATAAATCTATTACAAAAATGTATTAAGATTCATATTAATTTCATACTACCATGTATTTTAATCAAAACATTAAAATATCAGTACGTATACATTTTTAACATTTATATTTTGCCATTTTCTTGATTTAATGTCATTACATGTTTCAGTGCCCCCCCCTGCCCCCCAAAAAACTCTGCCCAACATTTGTTTGATTTAAAAAGAATTAAAGCCTTCAATAAAACAGATCATGAAGAATTTCAACAGGACCCTTTACTAAAATCAAAAAACAACTTTCTGTTGCACTACTATGGTGTCGTTATACACACGTTAAAACCATTTATAGATTTGTTATCATTATCGAGTTCTACTTACTCCCAGCGAGTTTGCCTCCATGGCCGTCTGCATTCCTGTGCAGGCATAAGCCAGCTCCTCTGTGATGAGGCAGGCATCAAAGATAGACAAACCCATCCCACCTAAAAGGAAAACCACCACATAAGGGGGTCAGCTAAACAAAACAGCTCAAATAAAGTCCTATTTAGATGATTACTGTGTTGTAAATGAGATAAAGTTTATTTGGTGTATCTAGTAATTTACTTGATATGGAGTTTATTACTCTGTTTACCATGCTTCATTAAGGTTCATCACAAACACTAGAGCCATGACATTAATGTGACATGTACTCTTAGGTGGGATGGCCTTCCCTCTCTAAGATAAGGCAGTGTCATTGGTAGACTTATGTTTCCAAGGCCCTTCTTGGATTACTGCCGTCTAACATTTGTACCTTACTTACACAGAGAAGCATGGCTTCTTATGCCCTGAGATCCAACAGTCAGCTGTTGCTCACTATTCATTCCGCTCACACAGAACTAGGGAAGAAAGCCTTTAGCTACACTGCTCCTTGTGCATGGATTCTTTTTTTTTTTTACAAACTGGAAGTTGACTGAGTTTTTATCTTTAAATGCTTTTAAGTTGAAAGTTAAAGAATTTGAAGCATTTGTAACTTTGCTGAATATTAGCCAGGACTCCATTGAAAAGGTTTTTAATCTCATGTCATTTTACACATGTAATTTTGTCAAATTCTGGTGCGCTTTACCGCCACCCTCTGAATTGTAGATACGCCTTCTTCCTCTTTTCTATTATGGCGTATCGCAAGCAACTTTAAGGTGCATACCGCCATCTACTGTACATGAGTGTGAAGCAACATTACATTACATCAAATTCTATTTTATATTTTTGTATTCTGTAGATAATAAATAAATAAATAAAATACTTTCGTTAATCTGGGAATATCCTTTATATTTCCTTCATTTCCCAATATTCCTTTAAGACTCCATTCCTTTAGGTACACCTCGCTGCAGCCATATGCATTAATTAATACGCCTTCAGCAGACTGAAAGTTCAGGGACAATTGTGCCTTGCCAATTGATTAAAAAAAGAAACTTAAATGTCCTTGAAAATCATCCAGAAACCGCTAAGATATACACTTCATTACCTCTTGTGAAAGCATTTGCAAAAATCAAGCAGAAGTTGTGAACGAGAAGTTGCTCGACTGTGTGTACTCAAAGCCACAAGGGGGCGTTAGAGTCAACAGCACGTCTTAACATGAGATTTAAATTTTTAGGATCATTATCAATATATATCTATATCTATATGGATATAGATATAGATAAATATGCTTGTTTCGAAACCATAACTAATTTGGTATAAATAATAATAATTACTATTATTATTATTTTGTTACTATAAAACCTTACAGTTTAATAAAGAATTTTGTAAGAAGTTTAGGCAACCTTATCAGATCGCAAATATCATCAGACAAATCTTAAGACTTTTCGTTGACTCCTGGTTTATGTATTGTCAAGACTATGATGTATTTATGACAATACATTATAAAAAAATAAAATAAAGGTAAATTGATTAATAATAATGCCCAATAATAACTACTCTCTTTTGTAAATCAATATCTCTGATATCATCTAAACAACTAAAAATGTGTGTTATAACCTCCTACTGGAGTTATAACACATGTTATAATATAACACACATTATAACAGGAGATCTTCCATTTTCTACCTCCTTGTTATGGTTGTTGTATTTTCTTTATAAACAGACTTTTAACTTTCATTGTCTTCACCTGCTGAGGTTCTAATACCCATTTTCTGTTGATGCTTTATTCACAATTCACACTGGGAACGACAGGTAGAATGTAATTACTGATATACATCATGGCACTTTATTATTATTTATTGTAATTTATGAGATCAGATGGTAACTCCCCACAAGAGATAACCAAAATCCATGAAATACAACTTAAAAAAGACTTTTATGTTTGCGGGATCTTTAAATCTAGGAAGAAAATCATTCGAAAAGGTTCATAACATTATAAATATGAACCACGTTGACAATGCCACAATTAATAACCCAAATACACATTCAGCTATTTTTCATTCATTTCTTTGCAGGAAAACATTGTGAAAAAGAAAAAAAGCCAAAAATGTTCTGTTGAAGTCCTTGGAACAAACATCCTGAAAGAGAAAACAGAGATTAATTTACTCTCTATGTTAGACAAGGCTGGGCTTAAATGAAGTTATTTTATAATTAACATTGTGGAGCTACATATAAGCAGGTGATTTCAATCTGACACTTTACCATTCAACATAAACTATAACATCAACGATGCAGCTCCTGGGAAAAAAAACGTTTTAAAAGATACAATTTTCATTTGGAGATTTGAGCATCCTCTTCAGAAGATTGTTAATCAACAGAGGCTATGTTCACACTGCAGGCTTTAATGCCCAATTCAGATTTTTTTTTTTTTTGTGAAATCTGATTTTTTATTTTATTTTTATTTTTTAAATATTAAATATTTTTTAAAAGATACAATTTTCTTTTTGAGAGGTGAGCATGCCATCCTCTTCAGTAGGTTGTTAAACAACAACAGAGGCTACGTTCACACTGCAGGCTTTAATCCTCAAATCCTCAATTTTTTGTGAAATCCAAATTTTTTTTTTGCGTTGTTCACATTTCCAAATATAGAGAATTTCCAAATGTAGAGGACGCAATGACATCATGGTAACGTTTTCTTTTACAGTACATCACTAACCATGTAATGACATGATAGTAACACACCAAGTCACACTACATTACTTGGTACAAAAAAATATTTGGTAATTACCCCAAAATGAAGGTATATAATTTCAAAGTAATTACCTGCATGTATTTATTACAATTGTATGTTACTATGTAACAATGGAGACATTTGGAGGGTAATTACTATTGGGTCACAACATAACAGTTTCTATTATTGGCCACCACCTACCAATGACTTACAAAGTAAATTGTAACTAAATTGTAACTAGAGCATTATAAAACTCAACTTAAGTTACATTTAAATACGAGTTTAGTATAAAAAAAGATTGGCTTAGAAAGCAGCTGGTCTATGTTTAAAATAAAACAAATCTCCATTATCTTATCTAACGGTCTCATCTTTAAAGCATAATTACTCATTCCTTTGGCAGATCATCTTATTTACCTGTTCAAATTCTTTAGCTGTGTGTGTATTCAGTATAGGAGCTTTAGAAGAGGTCAGGAACAGTTCAACATGGTTCCTTCCCCCTGTTTGGAACCCCTCATGCTCTACAGTCCTTCCTTTGCAAACAAAGCTGATGTAGCTCTATCTTTAAAGCCACTTTACTCCCAAGCACTTCATCACATCAAGACTTTGATTTTAATATTTAAAGAAAAGGAAATTGTAGGTCAGATGAAGGTCCCAAAAACTAGTGGTTCTAATGTGGATCCAAAAATTCCAACTGTTAAAATATATTATTTCATAACTGCGTTATTTTTATTGCAAACATAAAGATTTCTTGTAACATTTAAAAGCGTTGTTAAGGAACAATTTACCAGGCCCACTGATTAAAAATATTGAAATACATTTTTTAGCTTTTCTTCTTCATATTGGGTCCCACACTGGGGAAATTTTGTCCTCTGTATTTAGCCCATCTGTCTGGAAGCGGTGGGCTGCCACGCTGACTAACACGCTGAAGTTAGTGTTTTGTTCAGGGACTCAGAATGACAGTCTGAGGCTCTAATGAGAGATCTTTATAGCCTATTTAGAGCACAAACACCATGCACTCCAACCACTAGCCCCCACCACTCTTGCATTTAAGATTAATCGGCTCTATATCATTACCTCATGCAGCAGGTTGCACTGTGTTCTAATCATTTAGAAGAATGGGCCTCCAAACAAAGGCGACATGGATCCTTGTAGCCATCCGCGATGGAGCCCCTGCAGAGAATAGATAGAAGAGGGTTCAAAGATTTGAGCTGTCAGTTTTTTGCAAACAGGTTTTTTATTTTATTTTCATCTGTCAGATCACCTCGAAACTCAATCCGACCAGCAAATAGGAAAGGATTCCATTGGATGACAACATTGATTCTGAAATAGAGGGCTGAACAGAAACAAAATTGAAAACCATGTTAAAGATTAATATAATTACATTTTATTCTACATTTAGGCACAGTTTAACTTTCAATAGTTTACGCAAATATTAAAGTAAGAGAACCAACAATTTAGACAAGAATTCTGCATTTTCATAAAAGTCAGAATTTATTTATTAGTGAATGAGCTTCCATAAATTTCCCCAAACAACTGTTTGTCATTGTTCTGACTTCTACAGATGCTTTCTGTACAACGTAATTGTACATAGCTCAATAGTATTATAAGTTAACAAAAGCCCTTATTATTTCCCTTTGTGATGCACCTGAGACAACAGCAAGTGTTGGCTTGATATGTAAAACTCTTCATATACGTTTCTTCTATCTTGTTTCTATTGAATAAGAAACATTTATGTATAAAACATATTCCCAATGCACTATTACGATGCTAAGTGCTACAAGCTAACCACGAGGAGCGTCATGTGAAGGTCACATTGCCCGTCAACACAAGTCGAGAAAGACCGAGTGCAGAAACCATCATGGAAAGGTGTGCTAGAACCAAAACTTAACTTACCTTGATTAACAAAATTAATCTGAAAGTCCATACTGGCTTTAACACAGCAATCGGCACAAATTTTTTAACGTTTATAGTAGGGCACTTATTACACGTATAACGTGTTGCACCCACTACGGATGTACTGCGCACATGCGCGCCAGTGTTACACCTTCTACGCATATGCGCAATACATGCGTATAATGTTCTTGCTCTTTCAGCTTTTACGAAGTGGGGTAAAAAAAAGATTGGTCATGTCTATCAAATAAAGTCAATAGTTTTAAATTATATTTAGAAAAAGTTAAACAAAAAAAAGTGGGAATCCATAAGTTTAATAGGAATTTGGAAGAGTGTTTGTGTTAAGGACTGAACGAAAGCAAAAGGGATATAAGTTTGACTTCCTCCCTTTCTGAGGCATAACCCAGTATCGGGGTATTGCAGGCTAACAAGAAACTCCAAACAATTTCCCATTCCTAAAGGGCAGACCCGTTCTTCTAGTTAAATTTGCATGTTTTCTAAATAAAAACAAGTTTTTGGGCCACTGCATAAAGCTTCTAACTCAACGCTAATTCTGACATTTTTAATTGAGAAAGCTTTCTGGATGGGAAGCAAAACGTCTTCAAACTTAAAAAACCAAGTCCAGTGGATTGTTTTCTTTTATTTTTTGGAATGGCTCACCAAAATCGTTTATCACAAAACCCCAAAACAGTCTTTAATTTGAATGCCTTCCAGGCAGGTTCTCCACTATGACCTGGATGACTGAGAATCTTCACCAAAATTTTCTTCATTACCTATTGTGGACATAAATACTAAATTATACATATAACATACTGAAATACATATATCAATGATTACGCATTATGTTTGTATGCATTAAATTTATGATTTTACTGGATTGTCTGAAATAAAGTCATTAATTCATATAAAGCTCTAATTATAAAAATGGAAGTAAAAATGAGGTATCACTGAAAAAATATTAAGACGGAACCATAAAATCATCTATTTTAGAATAAAAAGGAAAAATTATAGAGACGATCTTTTAAACATTTTTAAGACCAAGCGCTACAGTCAATAATTTACTGAAACAACAAAAAAGTTATCTTACCTGTCTAAGGGAGAATGGTAGAACTAAGGTCTAACTTTCAATCCTCCTAGTGAATGTATGGAAGCAGAAGTTTCCAGTTAAACGGGAAGGAAAACTTAAAAATTGCCCACAAAATTTGATCATGTGTTGCCAGGCAAAATGCAAATAATCTCTCAAAATGCAAAGTGCAAGTAATCTCGCATCAACTATTCATTTGTTGTTGTATCCTTTCTGCTGTTCTCACACGCAGACCTGGTCAAGTTTTAATGACAATAATGATATTTCTAACAGGTTTAATGACACAATTGCTAAAATAATTAAAGGACAATCCTGCATGGTAGAGAATTTACTGCAGCTGAAATTATGATCATGTGCTTGTTGATCACAGCTAAACCCACCTTTTTTGGCTCTGTAAAAATGGCTGCTTTTTCTGCTTCCATTGGGCTTGTCAAATATTTTTCTTGCTTTAGTTATTTCTTGTTAACCACAATGTTTTAAAAATTATAAGCTGTAATACTAATATTAAAAGCATGTGCCTCTTTTTTTTATTTATGTTTATTTTACAAAGATGCCCTTTTTTTGGTTTGCTGCCCAATTTTCTTTTTCAAGTTTTCTTTTCCAATTATCCTGTTATTCATGAAAAAAAAACTTGCTTTGCTTAAAAAAACAAAACAACAACTATAAAATATCAAAGAAACTTTTGGGATCAATAAGTTCCATCTTCTTTTGTATCCTCAGGTACACCCTTCAATAATATACTGTAGTGCTCTTCAAATCAAGCATGCATAAGTAGGCCACTTACTTAGTTTCCCCAGGTCACAGTTCTTGTTATCTGTGTCAAAGCATAAACATTCCCTCAGATTTAAAACTCATCCCTGGTCCCATAACCTGTTGCTACTGCAATCTTATAAGGTCTGGATAACAGAGGAAATGCACCATCTCGACCAGCCTGTGGCCTTCTACTCTCATGACTATCACAGGATATATACTCAATATATGAGTCACTCCACACCACAAGATGTCAGTAAGGACATTTACAATACCTTTCAACAAGTCTTCGTTTGGACAGCTGAATACATATAGACATAACAGGAAGACTTATTGGTATTTTTTATCTTTCACCTGTCTGTAAAAAGTGAATAAATATTTTTAGAACCTCAACCTGATAAGGAACAAACTGCATTTAAGTTTATAAAACAACAAAATATATTTTTTCCTGCTTTGTTTGCTCATATCACAAGTAGTGGTGGCTGCTGCTAAGCCACATAAAGTACCATACCAAACCATGCAGGGGGTAGGGCGAGTGGATCGTTCAGCCCTTAAATAGTGAGTCTGCACTTATGTAGACTCGCTAGAATTTGGCAGCAGGTGTAACAGCGGCCTGGTGGCAGAGGAAACAAGTTCAGCCAAATGTAATTTTCTGCTGTCAGCATCTTCATCATGCTGACAGAAAATCACAAGTTAGTCTATGAAAAAATGTAATTTATTCAAAAAAGGAAGTTCCTCTTACCGTATACAATTGTTTTAAGAAAGGGGCAAATGTTTAATGTAATGTTAACCTGCACCACAGAGCTACAGGCACAAATGGGGCGTCACTGTGTTGCCATAGCAACAACTGTGTTCTTTTTCCATTGGAGGGAAGAAGCCGTCCCATTCTCATTTATACTGTACCTCTCCACCTTCAATCAAGGCGCCTTCCACAGCTGCGAGTCAGACTTAATTGGTAGTGACACTTGATAGTTAAGGGTTAGTGCTTAGGGGGCAGTTTGGGATTCAGCTTCTAAGAGGCTTAGCTTTACTGGAAGTGACATATTTTGGTGTGTTAACCAATCAGGGCTCTACTGTCCTGCTGCTTACCTCAATAGAAGGAGGCTCAAACCTCAACAGGGATTTCTCATAGAGACTGACATGCAGCGTGTTGCTGCTCCAGAGAGAAAGGGAGATTGAATAAGAAAATGGAATAAACAGCAGATTAATGCGCAACTTGCTTATGAAAACAGGCACATTTTAGCGCAAAATGAATGAGGTCAATGACAACATGTATGCATATTTCACCAATAATTTAACTAAATTTACAGGGGAGGTTTAGCCTTCCTAGTATTCCACAAATTGGGCTTGAATTGCAAGGCTAGCTGACTTCCAATTTAAGCCAGTTTGTGGCTGCCATGACCCACATGACTGAAAATCTACCCAGGCATCTCCCTGGTACTCAATAAGAAATCCCCACTGGTTACAAGACAGCATTGAAAGGAGCAGAAAAAGAGATTGTCTGAGCAGGAGTTTTATGGTTAGATGAGATAATGGCATGAAGTCTCTGACAGTAAAAAGTGGAATTACAGTAAAAACCCATAATGAGAGAGTGACACAAACTATCCTAGTTAATTTGGCAATTTTTTGTCGAAATTTGTATTACTTTAATTATCAGTGGCTCACCATTGTAATGTTTATCTGTGTTACAGAGCAGCTTCAATAATTTTTAAGTCTTGTACATTTTATAAAACTGATGTTTCTGATTTAATATTCAGTAAAAGAACCTTAAACAATGTCAGTAATGCTTCTGACCACTCTGTTGTCTTTATGTTGATTTAAGCAGACTACCCAACTGATTATCTAAAAATAATATAATAATTTTGTGTCCACTTCAGCGAACCACTTGGCATGTATCTGTCCAAAAAACACACTCAATTTGTTTTATTTATGACAACAGATTTTTGATGCTAAATATTCACAATGCTTGGCTGTTAGAGATCAGAAGAGCTGCAAAGGGGGAGCCTAGATGAATAAAACCTTAAAAGGGTTAAATTGGAATAAAACTGAGTGTCCATTGTCTATCTAGTGACTAGATAGACCTTCTAGTCTAACAGACCAATTCCACACAGATCTTAAGTGACATAACCTGAAAAAAACCCCAAAAAGGTGAATTTAATATATGACAACACAGTGAAACCGCACGTCACACGTGACAGCTCTGCGGCACAGGTTAAAAATATTTCAAAGAGGACGGTACATTTAGGGATTAGTGAAGTATTTTTTTTCTTTTTCCTAAATTGTGATTTTCATTCGGAGTGATGAAAATGCAGCAAATCAGCGGAACTTACATTTGATTGCAAATGTTTCCTACGTCAAATCCCAGCCAGCCTGCACTGATGAAGGCCTAAGGGCTGAACTGTCCACTCGCCCCACCCACTACATGGTGATGTGGCGGACCCTCCGCGGGGACGCGTAAAAACAGAGGGTTAGTGATAAGGGTTAGCATGTAGGGGCCGGTCTTGTGCGAAATTCTGTTTCCCTGTGTAAATCTATTCCCCCTTTGACACGGGTATGAATGTGAAGGGGATGGCCTCCACCGGAAACACGAGACCAGTCGTTTCTATGCCACACAGTGACGCTCCCTGTGCATGGCTGCAGATCTGTGATGCAGGTTGACAATTTCTGCAAATGTGACAAAGATGCCCCCAAATCTGCCATTAGTTCAGCCTTACACCCGCTCCCAAATACCAGTACTAGTATGCACAGATGCAGATTGATCACTCAAGGCCTAATCAGTCCATTCGCCCCACCCTACATGGTTTAGAACAGCTCCTTATGGCAGCTTAGAGAAGTGTTTAAATTAAGTTCCTGAATCAACTAATCATTGAATCTGTATCCCAGAGGCAAAGGTGTTCATGATCAAGCAGCTGTCAATATAGAGCAACACAGTGGCATTGCCAATTTGATAATACAGTTTGGAATGTGGTAGATAAGTTTTAGCTTAAATTAACTGGAATAGGTAGATAAACATTTTTTTCTACAATACATTAGCAGAAACAACAAAGAAGACATTGATCCTCTGAGCAGATGTGTAATAATTTAATGAATTGATGGCTTAAAGGCTCTAAAAAAAAATCCACCCCAAATTACAGCATTACATTCAACATTACTGAAGTCTGAAGATGGTTCACTTTCGAACTGATTTAATCCCATTTTAAAAATGTAAAACAAACAAAACATTGACTATATGAGAATATCATTTTCAGACATGCACTTCTGAACATTGTTCAAATTTAATGTTTTACAAATTTGATCTTTCAGACAGGTCAACAAAGTCAGACACAGTAAAGGAAAATAAGGCAAAATGATGAGTTATTTAAAATCTCAAGAAGTGTGCAGAACATTAACTGCTTACAGAAACCTGATACAGTTGATCATTTAGAAGATTATATGAAAAGCAACTTTGATTTAGGAATGCACCGATATTAAAATCTGAGCCAATATTAATATAGCCTTTATGGCCAATATTCAACAACATTTAACTGAAAAAAACAAACATTCAAATTGCTTCTTTGCTTCAGTTAAACAAAAACCTGGCCCTGCATCACAATCACCGTCACATTACCAAATAAAACCCGATGAGCGGTCCTCTCCCCTCCCCCTCCAGAAACAGTAACTACATTTCTTGTTAATATTAGCCCAGCTTTACCTATTAGACTGATCCAAAAAAAAATTTAAATGCCCATTGATGTAAATAATATATTGTGCAAACCTAAAAAAAAATAAGTCAATAACTGAATTTTGTTTTAAAATGTATTTCTGATACTTTAAAAAAGGCAATAAACAGATTGTGTTTATGAGAGGATTACAGCATATTGTGTTCATTTGGACGTCCTGTTGACATGAGAAGTTTTATTAATGTATTCAGTGGTCTTCCTTTTTCGCGATCTGCAGACCATTGAAGACCATCAGACTGCTGATCTGAATCATATGTTAAAGGGATAGTTCGGTATTTTTGACATGAATCTGTATGGCATCCCCATCACCAGTGGCATGCAATCACACTTACTTACCCCTGGCAGCGTCCTGTGAGCAGAGTTATCGTCCAGTTTTGGTCAAGCCGAAAGTAGTCCGGCAGGTTTTTAGGAACAGCGAAATGCATGTCTCCCTCCGCCCAGCTAGGAGCTAGGCGTTGTTGAGCTCGCTGTCTGAATGACGGCGCGCACTGATACGAACAGAGAGAAAATAGGACCAATTGATAACGACGTGTGACTTTTTCCACTACAATGTTTTTGAGATGCAAAAATATCGCTCTTTTGAACACATAATGTTTTGGGAAGAGAAAAGTTTTATTTCGCTGTTCCTAAAAACCTGCAGGACTACTTTCGGCTTGACCAAAACTGGACGATAACTCTGCTCACAGGACGCTGCCAGGGGTAAGTCAGTGTGATTGCATGCCACTGGTGATGGGGATGCCATACAGATTCATGTCAAAAATACCGAACTATCCCTTTAAGGCAGAAAACACTCAACTAAGTGGCCGGATTAACTTTACTGAAGCACGTTTGTATGTACAGGGCTACAGAAGTTAACTTTAATTAAACAAGGACAGATCAGGAAACTGTTCACTTCTTGAATTTTCCCAGGTGTTCTCTGGCGATAATGAGCCTTTGGATTTGAGCTGTTCCTTCATAGATCTACAATAAAAGAAAGGATATTTAGAAACTCTGTATGTTTGTATGTTGACTAAATAAAATCTAGTTCCTTACCTGGTAGATCTTGGCGTCTCTCATCAGCTTCTCTACAGGGTAGTCGCTGTTGAAACCATTGCCTCCGAAGACCTGAACGGCGTCAGTGGCCACCTGATTGGCGATGTCTCCGGCGAAGGCCTTGGCAATGGAGGCGTAATAGGTGTTCCTGCGACCTTGATCGACTTCCCAAGCAGATCTCTGGTACGCCATCCTGGCCAGCTCAACCTTCATCGCCATCTCAGCCAGGAGGAAGGACACAGCCTGATGCTGTCAAACAACAAACAGAGATATAATAATCTTCTCATTCTACCATCATTATTTTCAATCTCAAACTGACAACAGTGAAGATAAAGTTATGAAATAAAAATGCTTTTGTCATAGACGTTAAAACAAACCTCAGCGATCACTTTTCCAAAGGTCTTCCTCTCCATGGCGTAGTTTGTGGCTTCATCCAGAGCCCGCTGGGCCAGCCCTGTTGCTCCTGCTGCCACCTGTAATAAAGTCATTGGCTTAGTTACTGCAAAACCTTTTAGAAAGTAGAGTCTGTGAACCATAAAGCAGGATAGTGTTGGAAACAACAGGGTGGTGAGATACTTTCCTATGACTTTATTCTGCCAAAACAGTTAATAAGAGCTGGCCGTTTGTTTTTTTATTAATAGTTGTGATCTGAGATTAACCTGTTTTTCTGTTTGAAAAATCTTCCCTTTCAGCTCAACAGTGAACTTTTTTAGCCACCAAAAATAATCAGCAAAAGTAAAGAACCATTCTTTACCAATATATTAGCAGTTATTACTTCTGAACCTCAATGTTTACAACAAAACTGCATTGCAAATGTAATCCCACACCTTTAACATTATTATGCGTTACATGGTGCATCCCCAGTGGCAGATTCAGGATTTTGAGAAACTTCGAGAACTAATTTGCTTCCATCTGGTTTATCGAGGTCTGAGCTTCAGCACTTACTGGTGGCCTGGTGTTGTCAAAGGCACCCATAGCAATTTTGAATCCTGCTCCCTCTGCGATCAAGACGTTCTCTTTGGGTATCCTGACATCTTCAAACGTAATGCCTCTGGTGTCAGAGCACCTCTGTCCCATATTCATCTCCTATAAGGACACAAGAGACCAGGAAACGTCACACACTAAAATCTGCCATCCTTGATAGATGGAACATACTAATATGAAAACTACCTAGCAGGTTTCTGTTTGGTACACATGGGCACTACAAAATGTAGTCCAATTTAAAGAAATGCTCATATCTTTAACGGGAACCAGTAGCTGATGTGTGTTATTATGTTCAGTTTACCTTCCTCCCGATCTGGATCCCTGGAGTATCTGCATCCACAATGAAACCAGTGAAAGCTTTGCTAGTAGGACATTTGGGATCAGTATTGGTGCGAGCAAGGAGGAAGTACCTGAAAAAACAAATAATTCAGACTGTAACTAATGACTATTTACAATGAATAATCCAGGCAAAAGCAATCAACTGGACTTTGTTTCCAACTTTGAAGACGTTTCAATTCAATTCAATTCATCTTTATTGTCATTGTCACAAGAACAACGAAATGTCCCACCCAGGAAGCTTTTTCAATTAAAAATGTCAGAAATAGCGTTGAGATCGAGGTTTATCCAATAGCAAGAGATGCTCAACAGGAGATTTTTTTTTTTTTTTACCGAATTTAACCCAAGGTAAAACTTTACCAACTTAGTAGTTCTGGTTAGAAAATATTTACAGACAAAGAAGGGTTTTATCCCAAATACTAAATCAATATTCTTGGTACAGTTTTTAGTTCTGGGCTAAGTTGGTTGTTCTTTCAACAGACTGCTTGTTTTAGAGACAATAAACTCAACTAAAGGGTTACCAAATTAGCTGACAATTTAAATGAGCAATTAATTGTGATTTATCAAATATATTGTTTCAGCCTAACAAATAATAATACACATTTTACAACTATTGCAGCCTCCTAACCCCCATGACTCTGATGACAACACACAGGCTTTAATACACACCAGTTAGCTTTCCCTCCATTGGTAATCCACATCTTCTGCCCATTAACGACATACTCATCTCCCATCTTCACTGCACGGGTTTTTAATCCAGCCACGTCAGAACCCGCTCCTGGTTCAGTCACACAGTACGCCTTTGAAGAACAAAGAAAACATATTGCATAGGTTCAAAGGTTTGAACTGCAGAAATTATTTAGAAACTGCAGAGGTAGGAGGAGGCCTAATAACTGTCTGCATAGTTTCACAAAACAATAAAAATTGCTGGTGCCTGAAAAGAATCTTTAGCAAAGTAGCAGTTTTTTCCGACACAAAACTTACACACATCAGCGGCTCCTCCGTCATTCTTCCCAGGTATTTCTTCTTCTGTGCTTCATTTCCAGCAATGATAACAGGCATTTGCTGCAGGGTGGAAAATAGAGAGTTCATTTATACTGAGCTACAAAATTAATGTATGTTATTGTTAAGGTGTTAGAAACAAAGTGTTATAAAACTTGTTCAATAATGGTAAGGGAATGTGTCTGATTATATATATTATATTGTAAATATGTCTAAATGTTATTTATCTTTTTACCTCATTGTGTAGTGACTGTCACTATGTGCAAAGCTGCTGCTGCTACGCAGACATTTCTCAGTTTGGGATAAATAAAGTCCGTCCGAACATATTCAATTATTAACATTGCTGTAGAGTATTGGTCTAGATTCCCATTGTCCTGAAACATTTAGATATGTCTCTGTAGAGCTTGACTGTATGTTATTGAGGCAGGGTACGAAAGACAAGTTGCAGGAAACTGGACCTTAGAGATCTGAGTTTGAGATCATTGCTGTAGAAGATAAAATCATTCTCTGGCCAATGAGAAAAGCTTACATTTTAAGTTTCAGCCATGGACAAACATGGACATTTCATTTCAACTAAAGAAATAAAGTATTTATATGTGCCCCTTAGTAACAAACCCCAACATTTGTTTGATTTAAAAAGAATTAAAGCCTTCGATAAAACAGATCATCAAGAATTTCAACAGGACCCTTTACTAAAATCAAAAAAGAAACTTTCTGTTGCACTACTATGGTGTCGTTATACACACGTTAAAACCATTTATAGATTTGTTATCATTATTGAGTTTTACTTACTCCCAGCGAGTTTGCCTCCATGGCCGTCTGCATTCCTGTGCAGGCATAAGCCAGCTCCTCTGTGATGAGGCAGGCATCAAAGATAGACAAACCCATCCCACCTAAAAGGAAAACCACCACATAAGGGGGTCAGCTAAACAAAACAGCTCAAATAAAGTCATGTTTAGATGATTACTGTGTGGCAAATGTAGACAGTTTTTTTGTGCATCTAGTAAATTACTTGATATGGAGTTTATAACTCTGTTTACCATGCTTCATTAAGGTTCATCACAAACACTAGATCCATGACATCACTCTGACCTGTACTCTCAGGTGGGATGGCCTTCCCTCTCTAAGAGAAGGCAGTATCATTGGTAGACTTTTATTTACAAGGCCCTTCTTGGATTACTGCCGTCTTACATTTGTACCTTACTTACACAGAGAAGCATGGCTGCTTATGCCCTGAGATCCAACAATCAGCTGTTGCTCACTGTTCCTTTTGCCAGAACTAGGAAAGCCTTTAGCTATGCAGCTCATTGTGCATGGATTTTTTTTTTCTTTATTTTTTTTTTACAAAGAAACTAGAAGTTGACTGAGTTTTTATCTTTAAATGCTTTTAAGTTGAAAGTGAAAGAATTTGAAGCAGCCTCAACCATCTGCAATTGTTTTACTTGATATGATTTTTATGTACCTGTCATTTAATTTAATGTATCTGTTTTTATATAACTTTGCTGCCTCTTGGCCAGGATTCCCTTGAAAGGTTTTTAATCTCAATGGGAATTTTTTTTTCCTGGTAAAATAAAGGTTTAAAAAAAACTATAATAATAAATGAAGGTGTATTTGATACGATAACTTCAGAAAAAACAACATTTTTTAGTAGGATTCTCTGAGTGTAAAATATGACAAGTTTAGATGTTTTAAAATTAGATAACATTTATCTCAAAGTGGAGAATCATTTCTTTATTTTATAAAAAAGGCCTTTTCAATAAGGAGAATGGAGACACCATGTGGTGTAAACCAGAAGTTGTTCTAAAGCCCTATAGCAGCCTGTTAACCTTAATCAGGTCTTGCATTCATTACATTTGCTTATTTTTCATCTCTTATTTTATAATCTTTTCTAGACACAAATGCATTTATGTTTTATTAGTGACTTGAAAAACAATAATCTGCAGAAAATTTGACCTAGTTTTTTTTATAGTTCACTTGTCAACTAATCATTAAACAAAAATAAACCTGCTTTTATTTATTTATTTTTTTGTATCAGATCATCTTTGTTCGAACATTTACAAAGCTAGATTTGCTTGTTCTTGACTGAAAAAAATCCAACTCTAAAGTACAAAAGCTTTCCGTAAAAAAAAAAAAAAAAAGTGATTTTTTTTTTTTCCCCCAGGCATTTACACTAAAATTTTGGAACATGAGTACAGTTTAAAAGGATGTGGAGCGCATGAAGGGCATTGAGTCAGTTATTTCTTTTAATAAGGTGTATTAACCGGCTGAATTTCCACTATTAATTCAAAACTTGAACAAAGGAGTTGGACAAAAATCCAATTTAAACACAAAAATGGTCGTCATGTACATCAGACAGCCTACTTTTCACAACTTTAAATGACTCTAATGGGGTTGTGCTTAACATCTAGTTATAGTTTGCTTTGTCATAGAGCAGCGTACCATATTCCTGAGGAATGTGTCCATTCACCAGACCGAGCTCCCATGCTTTCTTGATGATGGGGAACGGATACTAGGAGACATATTTAAGGGGAGTTACATTAACAGCTCCATTAACGCAGCAACATGATTATAAACACGATAAATATATACATTAAGATAAAACACCAGCTGAAGGACTGAATCCTTGATATTTAAAAAAAGTTTTGAAAAGCAATTTAACAATATCATTTCATTTTTTACTGTATTGGTTTCTAATCTAGTTACAAAGAGCAGAACAACCTTTAGTAAAAACTAGGGCTGTCAAAATTAACGCGTTAACGCGAGATGATTAATTTCTGGAATTAACGCGATATTTTTTTTAACGCATTAACGCAGTCCCGCCCTGTTTTACCCACAATTCAATTGTAAGACATGAGCGAGATGGAGGAATCAGAAGAACCCGTTGGCCCGTTGGATGGACAGTTCAAGTATAAAAAAAACAAAGACGGGACCATAAATAAACATGTTGTGGTTTGCTCACATTGCAAGAAAGACTTTTCGTTTCACCGAAGCACCTCGAGCCTTAAATATCATCTTAATGCCAAGCATTCCTTTGTTGGGGCTTCAACTTCAGGTGTTCCGACTGGCACGCGTCAGACCACCCTCACCGAACGCAGGGCATTAAGTAAGTCTACGTCTGAGAAGCTGACAGACAAAATTGCCAGATGGATAGCCAAGGACTGTAGACCAATTAATATTGTCGAGGACACGGGCCTCGCAGAAGTTTTGAGAGTCGCAACTTTAGATGCTTTCTACAAGCCACCATCGAGAGGCACAGTGATGACTAAAATCAACCAACTTTATGAGACTAAAAAGAAAACGAAGGAGGACGATTTGGCTTCAGCGGAACATGTTGCTTTGACAGGAGACCACTGGACCTCCGTGAGTAACAATAATTATCTGGGTGTGACGGCGCATCACATCACTAAAACCTGGGAACTGAAGTCGTTCGCTTTAACTGTTATTAAATCAGAAGAGCGTCACTTCGCAGAGGCATGCGCTCAACAGTTTCAAACCGTGGCACACAAGTGGAAAATTGAAGAAAAAATCACAACTATAGGGACGGACAGTGCACGCAATATGACAGCTGCGGCTAAACTGCTGCCATATGAGCATATGCCCTGCATCGCTCACATGCTACAGAGAAGTATCACCGTGAGCCTCTCCGATAGTGGATTTACAAATGTACTGGCCAAGTGTCGCAAAATTGTGGGTCACTTTAGACACAGCGCAGCCGACAGCATGGAGCTTAAAGCACAGCAAGCAGCCCTGGGACAGCAGCAGGAGCCACTGATCCAAGACGTGCCAACGCGGTGGAATTCCACGCTGGAAATGATCAAGCGCCTGAACCGCAATCAAGCAGCAATTAAAGCAACCCTGGACCAACAACGCCACAAACTGGTTATGCTGACGCCACCAGAATGGGACAAACTGCAGAAACTGAGCAAGCTTCTAGAGCCCTGCAGGTAAGGAATTCACATATAATGTGCAAATTGAAAATTAAATTGAACTGATCAAACTGATCCTATTAAATGTTTAACTGATTTACCAGCATACCAACTGGTGTTCAAATATGTTATGAGTGTGTTTGTGTGTGTTATTTTACTGCAGGTATGTAACTGAGATTCTGGGTGGGGAGGCCTATATCTCCTGCTCAGTAGTACTGCCTGCTCTCCGCCACCTGCGTCAGGTGATGAAGGTCTCTGAAGAAGACCCTGCATATGTGGTGAGCTTTAAGACAATCTTCATGCAAGACCTTGCCTCCCGCCAAGAAAATACTAACAATGCATGGCTCAAGCTTGCAACGGCTCTGGATCCACGTTTTAAAGACTTGAAGAGTCTGCCTAAGTGTGAAAGGGAAGAGGTGTGGACCTCACTTGGAGGCATGCTTAATGAACATTCACCCAGAAGGTCTCTGCTGACTTCTCAAGATGGACCACCCACGAAGAAAATTCATCTTCTACAGATGGGCTCAGATTCAGAGTCAGATGAAGAGGTGCAACCTGACAAAGACATACACAGGTATAGGGCAGAGCCAAGCATAAGTATGGAGGACTGCCCTATGCAGTGGTGGGCTGCTCATTCAGGAGCACATGACAAGCTGGCACGGCTTGCCCGCAAATATCTAGCAACTCCTGCATCCACTGTTCCCTGCGAACGACTCTTTTCTGTCGCTGGTCATATTGTTCAGAAAAAACGGTCCGCTTTGCATTCAGAAAATGTTAACCAGTTAGTTTGCCTTAACAACTGGCTAAAAGATGAATAAATAATAGATAAATGACCTCATGTAATTGTTTAAAAGTCAAGTTGTTTGTTTTAAATGAAAAAAGTTCCATTCACCCATCCTGTATTTTCTAAAAAAAAAAAAAAGCAATGGCTAAGTTGCCAAAATTGTTGAGAATTAAATTCTTTGTTTGGATTTGTCATTAATAAATACTAAATGTAATACCCATCTTGTTTATCTTTCTGTTTTGAAAACAGCACACAGAAAATGTGTATTTTTCAATAATAATTAGGCTAGTGATTAATCGAAATTAATTCAGGAAACCTTGTGATTAATTAGATTAAAAATTTTAATCGCTTGACAGCCCTAGTAAAAACTAAACCAAAAGAAGCTGCTGTTGCATCATGAATATTGAAGCGTAGCTTTAGACCTTTTAAGAAAACACTACACAGATTAAATGAATAAATATTTAGAAAAAAAGTTTTCAAAAAGTTTTTAAGAATGTTCTCGATACATACTTCAGCACTCTTGTCATAAGCAGCTGCAACAGGCATCATCTCTTCACGAGCAAACCTCCTGGCAAGCTGCTGGAACTCCTTCTGCTGATCCGTCAGCTCTGGAGCACAATAAATAATAATAAAAGCAGACAAAAACAGTTAAACAATTAAAATTGGTTTCCAGAAATGTGTGTAGCTCCAACTCAAACAAACAACTCTTACAGAGTAGTTTCTTTAAAGGAATAGAGGACGTTCTATTATTTTCAGGTGGGTCATCTAAATAAGTGGCCCTCCTAATTGTTATTTAATTCTGGTGATATGTTTATGTAAGGCCGTGCTACGTGCTTGGTTTCAGTCATTGAAACTCACCTTTCTCACAGTGGTTCTTGAAAAATAGCTGAGGGTCATAAGAGAAACTGTGTCTACCAAGTGTATGAGAAGAAAAGAAAGGCCTCAGAAGAGGCATATATTTTTGCTTTTGCTGTCATAGTGGCGCAGTCGCTACCCGACAGCAGCGACTTATAACAAAGATGGCACAAGATCAGTGCAGTGGACCAACCGTGAGGTGGTTATCTGTCCAAGTGGTTGACTGAGTTCAATATAAGCTCCACTACATGGTCCCCGCTCTATATGGTGATTTAGGAGGAGATTGGGATCATGCATTTTTATTTTTTAAAGTGGACGGGGAGGGTCTTTTAAAAAAATGTACAAAGTCCTCCACAATACCTTTAAGAAGGGAAATAAAATTTGTATTGCATTCAATGAATATATCTTTCAGCACAGATTTTCAATACAGTTTGACAGAACTAAGACTGAAATCCAATGCTTTGATAAAAAAAAAGGGAACAGGTGGCCTTTTATTTCTGTGACATGTAAGAAATAATTAGTCTGGGAAGATTTCTTTTCAACATTTATGTGGATATTTGTGTGTGTGTAAAAGTGGATTAGAGTGGTGCCAAACGAGGTCAGAAACTGTTGCACTTTAAACATTTCTTACTGTTATGTTTTCCTCCGACTCACCAAAAGAGAAGCCAGAGGATCCAACATGACCGCTGGAAGCTGTTTTAGCTGCTGCAGCACTGGAGCTCTGCAGACGAATCCCAGACCGAAGGCTGGCTCTGAACACCTGCATGAACAGCACCATCACAATACAGTTGTACTATTTGTATTAATACTAGTTGTTCTTGACCTCAGTATGTTGTTGAATGGAGCAGTTTTTGTTTTGAGAAAATCTAGTTAGAACAAGACTTAGCAACAAAGACACCGAGAACAGATACATGGTCATCCTGGACCTCCACAGAGAACAAAATACATACCACTATGCCAGGTTGTGTTCATGCAGCCAATAAATAGAAGTTCTTTATTAAAGAACTTTTGAATCATCTTGATAACCATTAGTCACTTCCAGAATAGACACATCAAACTACAGAGTCCTAAAACTCCCTAAAATGTGACTCTGTTCAGTTTAGGATGTATAAGGGTAAAGTCTGTGTTGCTTACATCAACTTGAGTACCTTTGATAAAAATATGTAACTCTGTGAGTAGTTTCACTGCACCATACTTTTTCTTGAGTAAAATCTTTGATTCCTCTAACCAATGTGAGAAACTTCACTGAAAAGAGAACAAATCATTTTAACCTTTGTGCAATTCTACTTTTTTTCCAGTCTTAGTCTAACCAGTAAAAAGTCCCTCAATTATGTTTTCTAAACATTCCTGAGCATGATCTGAAAATATTTTGAGATGTATTTTTTTATACATAAGTTATATGAGAATATAATTCAATAAAACGCAGCTTTGTCTGTTTCATTTTTTTTCTGAGCTGCAGACACGAGATTATTTCCTTTTCAGTTACATAAAATGTTTTGAAAGAACATTTCCCGTCATATTTAATGGGTGTTTTTATTCATTGCATTACAATCTGTATCCAAACATTGTCAATTTTATAATAATCTGTCTCAATATTCTAAACACTTTGAACCCAGAGAAAACTTAACTGATTTCCTATAAATCAGCTCCAATCACAGCATAAACTCGTATAAATCTTCCTTGCACCTTGGAATGGACCCTGAGCCTGGAGATATTTACACAGAAAGCTACAGCTAATGCTAGAAGAATAGCCACCGATAAAGGAGGGTTACTGAGTTTAAAGAGATGACGAAAATATGAAAAATTATTGCCTTGGTAAGCAAAAAATAAATACTTCCTAATTAATTAATTGTAAAAACTGTTATTTCTCATGTTTCAGTCGTTAGAGCGATTCGCTAACAAACGTTAGCATGTGACGTAACAGTTACAGCTCGCCTTGGTTTACTTGACAAAATAAGTCTCTTAAAGCTTCTATATATAAATTAACCGACTACGTGTCGCTGTTTGTACAAGCAGTTATTTAAACTCGAGAAGACGCACCTTGTTAAGAAGCATGGTTGAAGGTTTTGCATAAACACGACCGACTTTGTCAGCTACCTCTGCTCCACTCTAACGTTAACGCCCTGACAGCCAATCAGAACAACGGATAGTGGTCACGTGCCTCAGCTCTGCTGTGACTTTTGCCCCAGTTCTTACATCTTATCTAATGAGGTTCACCTCTGCTGTTTATAGTAATGAAAAATCTAAAGGGTCTCACAACCATGGCCTCAAAATCAGATGATACTGCAGCTTTGAAGTGTTCAAATAACAGAGAATGAAAAGCAGCTCGCAGGATAGACGGATAAGGAGATGGGATTGTTTTCAGAATACAGGTCCTTCTCAAAATATTAGCATAGGGCTGTTGCACTGATTTTTGGGAATTACTTTTGTTCTGTTCCCCCATAAAAATATAAAAACAGTGCCCACCCTTATAGTGTTGATACGTCCTGCCCCCCTGTTATATTTGATCTAAAACTGTTGTTGGTTCTCTCCCTCAGTGTTAACATTGTTGTCTAGTTTCTCAGCAGTTTTTAAATCTTCGTTTGGGCACATGTCTCAGGTGTTACCAGGTTGATGGCTTTTTTAAAATTGTTTTTTAATTTTGTTAAACCAATTCTACAGGTCCTTCTCAATATATTAGCATATTGTGATAAAGTTCGTTATTTTCCATAATGTAATGATAAAACTTGAACATTCATATATTTTAGATTCATTGCACACTAAGTGAAATATTTCAGGTCTTTTATTCTCTTAATACGGATGATTTTGGCACAAAATTAGCATATCATAAAAAAGGCAAGGCAAATTTATTTGTATAGCACAATTCAGTACAAAGACACAATTCAGTACAAAGACAAAGTGCTTTACATGATTAAAATAAGAAAATAAAACACCAAGTAGAAGAAAAAATAAATAATAAATAAGATGCAGAAACAAGAAAAAACATTAAAAGCAGTTGGACTAAAGAAAAAAAAAGAACTAATGATGTTTCAGTTAAACTTTTTAACTAGAACAGTCGAAGGCAATCCTAAACAAATGTGTTTTTAGTCTTGATTTAAAGGAGCTCAGGCTTTCCGCACTTTTACAGTTTTCTGGAAGTTTGTTCCAGATAAGTGGAGCATAGGAACTAAATGCTGCTTCTCCATGTTTAGTTCTGGTTCTAGGTATGCAGAGCAGGCTGGAGCCAGAAGACCTGAGTGGTCTGGAGGGTTGATACACTGATAAAAAGGTCTCTAAACGAGCAATGCACCTCATCATCTGAATCAACAAATTAACTCTAAACACCTGCAAAAGATTCCTGAGGCCTTTAAAATCCCAGCCTGGTTCATCACTCAAACCCCAATCATGGGTAAGACTGCCGACCTGACTGCTGTCCTGAAGGCCATCATACTAGACACCCTCAAGCAAGAGGGTATGACACAAAGATATTTCTGAACGAATAGGCTGTTCCCAGAGTGCTGTATCAAGGCAGCTCAGTGGGAAGTCTGTGGGAAGGAAAAAGTGTGGTAGAAAACGCTGCACAACGAGAAGAGGTGACCGGACCCTGAGGAAGATTGTGGAGAAGAGCCGATTCCAGACCCTGGGAAACCTGCGGAAGCAGTGGACTGAGTCTGGAGTAGAAACATCCAGAGCCACCGTGCACAGGTGTGAGCAGGAAATGGGCTACAGGTGCTGTATTCCCAAGGCTTTTGAACCAGAAACAGCAGCAGAGGCGCCTGACCTGGGCTACAGAGAAGTAGCACTGGACTGTTGCTCAGTGTTGCATGTCATTAGGAAATCAAGGTGCCAGAGTCTGGAGGAAGACTGGGGAGAAGGAAATGCCAGAAGTCCAGTGTCAAGTACCCACAGTCAGTGATGGTCTGGGGTGCCATATCAGCTGCTGGTGTTGGTCCACTGTGTTTTATCAAGGGCAGGGTCGATGCAGCTACCTATCAGGAGATTTTGGAGCACTTCATCCTTCCATCTGCTGAAAAGCTTCATGGAGATGAAGATTTCATTTTTCAGTACGACCTGGCACCTGCTCACAGAGCCAAAACCACTGGTAAATGGTTTACTGACCATGCTATCACTGTGCTCAATTGGCCTGCCAACTCTCCTGACCTGAACCCCAAAGAGAATCTGTGGGATATTGTGAAGAGAAAGTTGAGAGAAGCAAGACCCAACACTGTGGATGAGCTAAAGGCCGCTATCGAAGCATCCTGGGCCTCCATAACACCTCAGCAGTGCCACAGACTGATTGCCTCCATGCCACGCCGCATTGAAGCAGTCATTTCTGCAAAAGGATTCCCGACCAAGTATTGAGTGCATAACTGTACATAATTATTTAAAGGTTAACCTTTTTTGTATTAAGAACACTTTTCTTTTATTGGTCGGATAGAATATGCTAATTTTGTGAGATAGGAATTTTGGGTTTTCATGAGCTGGATGCCAAAATCATCCGTATTAAGAAAATAAAAGACCTGAAATATTCCAGTTAGTGTGCAATGAATCCAAAATATATGAATGTTCAACTTTTATCATTACATTATGGAAAATAACTTTATCACAATCTAATATTTTTGAGAAGGATCTGTAGAATTGGTTTAACATTGTTTTTATATTTTTATGGGGGAACAGAACAAAAGTAATTCCCAAAAATCAGTGCAACAGCCCTTCATTTGATAAGACTCAGAATCAAACAGTCATCTGCAGCTCTTGACACCTCAGTTATAGAGGGGTAACAAACTGATGCTTATTTAAAGGTAAAAAAGATCAAAGAAACCAATGAGTTATGATTGTTGTGCCAGAGTGCATCATAAAATAGTACTACTTAGTGCTGTGTCTTCGGTATAGGGGTCAGGACCAGCTCCAAAGCAGCACTGGCCCCTTCCCTAACAGAATATAAATTTAGTCTTTATAACCACATATTCATAGAAAAGTTTATATTAACTTATCTCTTTAAACACTGCTAACACAGGGTTCACAAAACTGATCCCTCTTTCAAGCAGAAAAACATTCAGACCTCTAGCTGAAATGTACATGATGGAATCAGAGATGCTGCAAATTTTTCAGCCACACACCCAGAATGGAAAGAAGCATCATTGAAATTAAGAGCCCATTGAAATACAAAAACCTTAAGTGTACATGAGAGCAGCCTGATATCAGCTTGCAGGTAGCTGAGGGTCACAATGCACTGAGTCAAGGCAGGATGCATCCTCTTTAATGTCATATCTATACACACACACAAATAACCTAATTGGGGAAGATCACATCAATTCAAATCTCTTTCCAGCTTCTAAACTGTACGGCAGTATCTACTGCCAGTCCATTTGCAAAAAAAAAAAAATCCTTTTTTCTAGACACTTTTCCTCACAAAAACCAGTCAGTACAGTTGGTGACATTTACCATAATTTCCACAAAAATATATTTTTGGCCTCAAATCTAACCTGACAAAAAAACGCTTGGCTCTAAAACCAAGCCACTTGATCTAAACGAGTTTTCTAAATCGTTCTCAAAGATCAGCAAGCCAGCTTTACCTCAAATACCTAAAAACAGACACGCCAAGATCACTTCAAAACTTAACTTAAAAATGCAGTTTTTACTCGTGTCCTCAAAGATTTTGGTAACATTACAGCTCGAACCAGCTAGCTTTTAGTTAAGGAGTTTTATTTCAAGATTTTATTTGAAGGCAAGTTTTCCCACTGAATGCTCAACAGACTACTAAACAAGTCACTGGAGCCACAATGAGCCTGACCAGGTGAGAAACGCAAAACTAGCCAACGACCTAAGAATTCTAGCAACTATCAATAGTATCCTTTGTTCAAACTTCTTATTGCCAACATCAGTTGGACATCAGTAGTTTGATGTACTCAAACTACTAATGTACTCCTGCTTTAGCTGTAGAGGCTCAGCAGATATTGTGTCAACAGCAAAGGCGTTATGCAGTCAAAGTCAAGAAAAACTGACATTTCTCTAGAGGCAACAGCAGCTGGATGATCCATTTTTAGGAAGGTATGTTTATCAATTGTTAAGTTTTGCAAAAAAAAAAAAAAATTCACAGGTGAATTTGATTTTTCCGAACTTCACCATTAACTTGAACAGCATCACGAGCTTATGAATACAATTACGGAAAACAAATTGCATTCTAATCTGTACTAGATAATTTCAATATTCACAGTTCTTCCCCACTTTAGTTGGGAGCTCAATGTTCATTAAGAAAAGTAAGGCCAAAAAGACAAGACAATATTTTCAATCATGTCCCCTATAATCTTTGTCATAAAAAAAAAAAGAGGAAACGATCAGGTGTGGGACATTTGACTTTTTATTGGTGTATCAAACAGCTGTACATCTATTTGCCTTTCTTGGCCTTGATCTTCCTCAGGTAGAACTCCAGCTCCTTGCCCTCTAGGACATAGCCGTCTGCTCTGCCACACTGGCCCGGTCTGGAGGCAATGCAAGCTGTGGAGAAAACGCGGAGAAACAACCTTAGAGAAGAGCTTCCATAACGCTTAAATCCTTAAAATGTTAAATATCTTCAATCATATCTTTAAAATATCAAATTCCACACAAGCATAATTTGATTTTAAATGTCCTGCCACAAAACACACAACGTGAAAGCTGTAACAGTAAAAAAAAAAAAGTAATGTAAAATCAATTATTCACAGATCAGAAAAGTCAACTTACATGAAACATCACACAGGCACCATATTTCTGACTTACCAAGCAGTTTTCCCTGCAGGAACTGCTCTTCCAGGAGAGTGCTGATCTTGGCTGTCTTTTTACGCTCATCGTACTTCTTTTGGGTCTTTTTGGACCTCTTCTTGTTCAGGATCTCCTCCTCTTCAGGAGTCTGCCACAGAAATTAAAACCACTCATTAACATAAAAAATTACTATGCTCTATACAACTAAACATTTAGCTTTTTTGGCTAAGCTAGCAAGTCTTTCTCAGGGACTCTGATGTCACCACTTTCATTCAGTAGCAGAACTGGTCAAAGTTATCATCATGGAAAGACTTGCACCAAATCAGAGGGTATTTCTGTTACGATGCTGTCAAATTATATTTCATATTATCCATATCAAGCAGTTAATATCTGAGGCTTTAAAAGGCAATATTAAACAAATTTGATTATTCACTTCTAAACATCCTAACAGACCTTAAAACAGAACAAAGCATTTCCAACTAATTTATCACTTCAATACTTTGATTTTCCCAGCAGTTCTTTTAATCATAAAATATGCACATTATATGGCTTATGCTGACTGACCATTTGGTAAACTGTGTCTGGAAAATGTCAGAATTCTGGCGTTATTGTAGCTCTGATTTCTGACCCATTACAATATCAGTTCCAATCATACATTTTAATCACCAATTTTGTAATGTCAGACAAGGTTTGGTCAAGTCATAATTTATATTGCAGATATATATATATATATATAACAACTCAATGGGTATGAAAACAGACCCATATATTGACCAATAAATGGCAATATTAAGCAGATAGAGGATTTTCTAAGAATGTAAGACAGTATCATCATCTGGTTTACAAAATATAGATGGAATAAGAGCAAGTGTAGAAACTCCAATCCCCATTTTGTTTATCTAAACTTAGTAATACAATGTAGGGCAGATTAATAATTAATCATAATTGATTATCGAGACAATCGTCCACTAACTTAGAACTTGATTAATTGTTAACTGGACTATAAAGACTCAAAAAAATAGGGTTTCAAACTGGTTCCAGAAAGGGCCGTGTGGCTGCAGGTTTGTTTCCAACCAGACTCCATTCATCTCATCACAGCATCGCGCCAAGGTTGGACTTGAGATGACTGGAGTCTGGGGTGCTATTGCTTGGTTGGAAAGAAAAGCTGAGGCCACACAGCCCTTTCTGGAACCAGTTTGACATTCCTGCTCCAAAACATGCACCTAGAAAAAATAAATAAATTGTGATATTATAAAAAAAAAGGTTTAATTTGATAAAATCCTTAATGAACCTTTGGCTATCTGATTATTTATTACTTTTGAACACTGCATTTTCAAAAATTATGGCACTAAACATCTATGATTGAAGTATAAAGTTACATAAATGATATTAAACTACATCTTTTACTGCAGATGCACGTCGAACTTACCAGCTTGGCTCCCTTCTTGCGTCCCAGAGGAGTGGCATAGTGTGCCTCATACCACTGCCTGAAGGGAAGACTGTCAACAAGGACGATGCAGTTCTTCACCAGGGTCTTGGTTCTGACCAGCTCATTGTTGGAGGCATTGTAGACCACGTCGATGATCCTGGTCTTGCGTGTGCAGCCTGAACACACAAGGTAAAGTAAAGTTAGAAAGAGGAAAAAAACAAAAAACCTGAAAAACGTAATAGTTTAGTTTTACGGTAGATTTTTCCTCAGAGTCTTTGGTTTCTCCACTTACACTCAGTAGCAGAACTGACAAAGTTATCATCATGGAAACAAGATCATTAAAGGCCCAAACTTAAATGCTCACCCTCAGAGCCCCATGAGAAGTTTCCAACATCTAGCCTCAGAGCACGGTACTTCTTGTTCCCACCACGGACCCTCACTGTGTGGATACGGCGAGGTCCAAGCTACAAAAAAAAAATTTTCGTTGTAAACAGTAATTTGAGGTAAAACAGAAGTACTAGCTTGTTACATTTCAACGTGTCAGTGTAACTATGACAAGTCCTACCATTGATAGGCTCAAGGCTTTGTACCAAAACGGCACAAAAAAGAGCCTACCTAAGGTCAAGTTTTCATCACCCACGTTAATTTACATTTATCAAAACACCAGCCAGGCTGTTCACTCACCTTTGTGTTTGCAGGTGGACGTCCAAGCTCATACTTCCTCTTCTTATGGTAGGGCTTGCGTTTACCGCCAGTCTTGCGGCGTTTGTGCCAGTTGTCCCTTGAGATACCTATAGGGAAGAATAACGGAAGTGGTCATACCAGAGGTTCTCTCCTTATATTCACTTTAAACACCAGTTTGCTTGAGTGTTCAGTTCTCCAAGGTAAGGTTTGTCCACATTCCAATTCGGAATCCGCTTAATAGAGTTTCATCACAACACTCAAGCAATTACAGAGAAGATTAAAAAGAATCACTATCAGATCGACTCTTAAACACGAGGTAATTTCTGGACTTCTAAAAGCTGGAACACCCAATAGCCACTATGAGCCACCATAAAACCTAAAATTCCTAAAAGTATCAATACAATACATCCACAGAAACCCTTTAATAGGAAATGTGCATGTATCTCAACTTAATGTATCAAAAGCAGCATGATAATTCCTAGCAGCACGCTAGCTTAAGCTAACAGTCCACACCGCACATTAGCTACCACACGTTTAAAATCCTTCTCAAAAGAAGCTTCCACAAGCCAAAACCATTTATACTCACTATATTTCCAAACAATGTATTCTTATCAGTTCTGCAAATAATTTAATGCCTCATTTCAGCTGCAGCACCTAGCTAAACACGGGTAACGCGAGCAGCCATCTTTGAACATTACACACAGCTACTGATAATTTCAACATAAAACACAATCTGCAGTTTTTAAGAATATAAGTTTGAGCTAGATAAGTTTGAAAGGCATTAAGCTACCACATGTCGAACCATTGAGATGATATTCCTTCGTTAAAATATGAGATGGACAAGGATTCAGTCTCCGAGCTTCACACGAAAACACGTACCCATTCTCAGGCGCCGGCTAGAAAGAGGGATCGCAAAGGCTCATGGGTAAGTTTGAAGCTTCGGAAACTCGCGAGAACTTACGTACTACGTCCCAAATCCCACGCAACAAACGTGACTTAAAAACCCCAATTTATTTCAAATGATTAGATGTAAACGGCTTCCCACTGTTGTAAATTATGATGAAACTATTTGTAAGTGGGCTACACAACATATGTAGTTGTCCTCGTAGCCTAGTAATTCCAAAAAACTTTATTTACTAGTTACTACGACATAATCATTTACAGGTCAGTAGTATAGAGGAGAAGGGTTGCAGGTTCTAAGTAATATGGTGCTTGTGGCCAGAAAACTGAACGAAGTGAAGTGAAATTCTTTCACTTGACATAAAAAGCTAATTTTCCTCCATCTCAGTGCACAGGATTACATCAATAAAATAGATGGGCAGAGGAAAACACGAGAAATAGGTACAGCAAAATATATACCCCAAATTTGTCTAATGTCACAGAAAATATCAAATTATATTCTGGTGACATATGTGGACTATAAAGAATAGTCACTAAGGGTTCGGTTAAAATAATTGTTTTATAGTTTTATTTAAAAGCAAAGCACTTGTTATTTTCTGATTAAGTAAATGTTGTCAGTAGACTGTGCTGGTATTGCTGACTACCACATTTAAGATTAATTTTCTGTGAGTCCAACTTAAGAAAGTTGTTTAGAGACACAATTATTACCTCAACTTTTAAATAAAACATAACATATTATTATGGGTAAACATATGCTCTTGGAAATTGTTACTATTTTTAATCAGCTGCACAGCAGTTCATTTGTATTTTTGAAGTTTTGAAATGAGGTGTGTTGTCTGAAAATTTGTATCTTTCTTCTATTTTATATTAATTTATCATATTTACTCACTATAAAAGTTTTCACTCAGTCTGCTTCTCTCTCAAGGTCACTCATTTCTCTCCAGGCTGGTGTTTGTAGACCAGACATAGCTTCTTCCCATAACAAATCAGGTTCTTTCTCAAGGTTTATTCATAACATGTTACTGTTACCAAAGTGTGTGTAATTTGTTATGACTCTGATTGCTTTCCGTTGTTGTAAGTAAGGGGGGACGAACCCTTGCCAGATCAGAACAGAGCAGAATGTTGTGCCTTAAGGGCTGTAGGTATGATAACTGTTCTCTCTTTGCAAAGATATTAATAAATGTGCCGACTGAGTGAAATCCATCGATCTCTGTTTATTTAACTAGGATGAATAGTTTTTCCCATGACAGGTGAAACAAAATGTTTCATAAAATGTGGTGATTTTCTTCTATAGGAGTTTTTTTTTTAAAGTTTGTTTTAAAAACCCTCAACTCGAATATTAATTTCTAAGCTTATGGCCCAATATAGACACACAGACATATTTACTGTACTTGTAATGTAATTCTATTGTGGGAAACATTTAGGGAGAGTGGTGGACTGGATGCTAGGGCATGTAGCTTTGAATCCTGATGTTGTGAGTTCAAAACCCACTCCTACAAATGGCAGCCCACTGCCCCCCAAGGGGAGCACTGTACTTGTGACAGTGTAATTTAAATAAAATGCTGGAGAATACACAGCTAAAAAAAATAAAGGTAATATCTAAACAAAAATCTAAAATGAGTTACATATGTACAGTGAGGAAAATGAGTATTTGAACACCCTGCTGTTTTGCAAGTTCTCCCACTTAGAAATCATGGAGGGGTCTGAAATTGTCATTGTAGGTGCATGCTGAAATACTTATTTTCCTCACTGTAACTACGCTTATATAAATCCTGGATGACCTCTAGAGGCTGTGCCTTAAGCACTGAGTGATCACCCTGCACATGTTGAGAATTAGTATCAACAAACTCACCTGTAACCTACTGGTGATCAACATAAGTCTATATAACCACATGACACAGGGAGATCAGTCCCTCGATCTTCTCGCATAAACAGTGATACTGAGGGTCCAAATGCTCTGGTGGTCATCTGGGATTTATAGAACCGTAGTTACATACTCATGTTCTATTTCGTCTCTACTGACCGCCAGAGGCAGGGCTTCAAGCACTGTGACATATGCCTACAAAGTCCAGAGGAATGCCGTGAGAAAAGAAAAAACACTTTCCGTCCAGTAGAGAATGAGGTGTGGTCACTTTCACCTGATAGAACCTAGCGAAAGTGGTCTGCACTGACCCTGAGGCTGCTTCACAGATGGATTCCCTGTTATGGCAGCCAAAGATGGCGACAGGCAGCTTATGGAGTGGCACGGCACTACACCCGGCAGTGTATGCCTGAGATATCGCTCCCACAATCCAATGTGCCGACCTTTGCTTCGCAATGGTACAATCTCTCCCAAAAAACTAATGTTTCTGTTATCTTTTTCTGGAAAAAGGTATCAGAATCTTCCAAAACATAATATCTTAACAAAATCTGAGTGCTTGGATATGATTGTAAAGACATGAGAGATGATTTAAGACATTGTCAAAGAACTGTATTTATTTAAATGATAATTTCTATATGAACTCTTAATGAGTTATATTCATGTGTCCCTACAGGTTCTTTATTATACACAGCTATTGTTAACTGGCAGTTGTACATGTGTGAATATGAACACGTTTTGTTAAGGAGGGACTGTAGTAAGCAGCAATCAGTGCAGCAGCAAAGGTCACTCTTCCCAGGGGCTCATGTCGGTGTCGATGGCCACACAGTTGTACGCAGCATAGCGCAGCTTTTCTTCACACACCTTGGCACTAAAAAGGAGAGCAGGGACAGATTCACTATTAGATCACTTTCTTCAAGTCAAGTATGTGCATTTACTGCTTGCTTTTTCATTTCATTTTTATTACAGTCCTGTCATTTGCTTTTTTTAACATTGTTTCATGAATAGTTTCACATTGTATGTTGTTTACATGACTGAAAGGACGCAAAGAAGAAAAGCTTATAATATGAGAACCTTTCTCCAAATATATAAAATATTAAAGATGGTCTGATGCACAATTTACAATATAACTTCAAACCACACAGGCAGGTCATGTTTTGACAAAAAAAAAAAAAAAAATCAAAGTTACATTTATTTTGTTGTTACACATTTTATAGCAGCGTATAAGATTTAATTGTTATCAATTTAAACAGTTTTTTTTTAATTGATGAACAGAAGAGTTCTTTATATTTAGGAGCATGGCATTCAACAGTTTGACTCCAACCACACAGATAAGTTTAATAATTTAGATTTTATAAATAGTTGAGTTGTATGTTCACTTCTTTAAGTTTTAATAATTAATATTTCATTTTTGTTTGTAGATATCAAAGGTTGAATAGTAGTTGTGTATGTGTTTCCCCAAACATCTGAGCAATAAATAAAATAAGGCAGCATTATTGTGCAATATAAAAGCCTTAAAGCTATCAATTATAAAAACTTTTTACTTTATGAAGGATTGTGGTATTTTTACATAATGTCTTTCTAATGTAACTCCCATGTACATGGGATTTCCAGTAAAATTTTCCATCTAGCGTCACACGCAAAAATCTGAAATGAGACACTTTTTATATTTTGTCCATTTACAGACAACTTCATAGTAAATTTATTTTTTATACAGCAATCAAAAAGGTTTTGGTATAATTCTGGCAGAATAAGAAACTTCTAACCTAAACTAGATTGTTTTAGTTGCCTAATCTGTATCCACTTTATTGATTCCATAGCAAGATTTCACCAACTCTCTTCAATTTTAATCTAGTCGTGATCTTAAGGGACGTTGGAGGTCGTCCTTTACTTCATAACTCCATGAGCTATGTGCAAAGCCCCAATACTCCTGGCAGTAGAGCCGTCTTACAATATTGAATGCCTCATTCAGAATCCCATAAAAATACTTGAATTTTCTTTTGTCTGACAATTAAACCTTCAAAAGCTTTTGATTTGTGGCTACAAATATAAGCAGGCAGTTCATTCTGCCGCATAACAAACAACAGAATAAAAAGTGACAGCCAATCAGGAAATTATTCAGATAAATGTAAAATGTACTTGGGAAGCATTGATTTGATGTTGTCTGATGGGTTTTTATTACTATTTGTACTGATGTTTAT